GGACACCACCTCTTTCATTGCAGGTGTCTAAATATACCCCCCCGAGGAGTCATCCGGGGAAAAAGATATGCAGATTTCACGTTCAAGTTGCAGCAAATGCACAGGAAATAGTGTGTGGATGGTGTTGTATTGCAATGTCCTTTACTAGAAGGCTGAATTTATGTTGCCCAAGGGACTATAACTTTTTTTTAAATTTCCTAATTTTAAGTGCTGAGCTTAGCAATTTTAATAGTGTTTAATAGTTTTTAAAAAAATGTAATAGCTTTTGTAGTAGGAAGTTCCATCACGAGAAGTCATTTAAGTGTCAGCAATATTAGGATCTACCACAGAGTACGTGCATGTGGAATAATTGCTGGAGAATGATAACCTGCTGTTTCTGTATAGATGAGTTTGATGGAAATGAGATGCATGTTTTGCCAGGAGGTTTTCCACAATGATGTACTGATCAACAAAGAATGATGAGGCTCAAGTATCTTGGGGTCTTTTCCAGTTTTTGAAAGGTCAAGGACAAGTCAAAGGCATTTCTATTTCATTCCTGATCCACAGAGTCTGACACTTTCTTCTAGGTCTTTCCAATTTTTTATTTTCTCCTCTCCTATTTCACTAGTTCCCTATTTCATTTCCAGTCTCAGTCTGCTTCCTCTTCCTCCAAAGCAAATCATCCAGACTTTCTTCCCCCCCCGCCCCTTTCTCCCAGCCAGTCCAGGCTTTTATGCCTTATCCTAGGATTTCTCTTTGGATGCCTTTTCCTAATCTTCCCTCCTGCAGGCTGCTTTTCCCAGGGTTACTTGGATCATTGGGAGCAAGAGGCAGATGGTGTCTCTGCTCTCAGTCTTGGTGTCTGCTGCTGTAAATCTATAGCAGCTGGTAGAAGCAATTACATTGCACGTTTTATGCCTCATCCCTGGGATGACCTGGGATGACCATATAGCAGATGGATATTTTTAAGGACTTAGCTGACAAAATGAGTACCTTTGGATGAAGATTTTCATAGACTCATAACTTACTTCTTAACAGACCCATGAAAAAACCACTCCTGGTACTAAAATGACCGCTCCTTGTGAAACTTGGAGATCTCCTTCTCAAAATACAGACTTGCTAGAGATTCTTAACAAATTTCAAGTAGTTTTAATATGGGCAAAACAATGTCCATCTCCTCCCCTAGTTCTTGGGTTCCATACAAACAAATCTGGTCTGAAATATTAATTGGTGATGAATAATTTAATTTTAATAGTTAAGAACTGGTTTGAGGGTATCACAGTAGATATTCAAATATTCGAAGTGATCAAAAGCATTCAAGATAACTGTAGCTATCTCATCCATGTCTAATCTCTAATTCAAAGATGCTTGTCTTCCTTATTCCTTCTTGGTTGACTTTTTCTAAGTGTGTAGTAAGGAGAATTGTTTCATCGAGGCAGCTCCAGTAGACAGTAGAAGAGGTTTCTGATCGCTCTAGACAATAAAAAGGACGGTGGTGGTGTTGGGGTGTTTTTTTTTTTTTTAATTTAGTTTATTTTGACTTTCCAGGAGTGACTCTCTTCTTGCAGGTCACCTGCTTCCAGATCATGTTCATGTGGCCTGTGAAGGTGTTCAGGAGTCATACTGGGCCCAGCAGTATCTCTGCAGGTTACTTTTCTTCAGATTCTAGCACCGAATCTAAACAATACTTATCAGTAGTGATGGAATATTTAAGAATACAAGGATTTTGTATTTACCGTGATAATTGATTGCTTTCTTCTACTGATGATATCTAATATTTTACTGGTGCTTTAATATTTTAGGTATGGAACCAATAAATTTTAAAAGGGTTTCTAGATTCTAGGCCTAGTGCTGAAGACTCGACAGATGTCAATGGGACGCTTTCCCATTCCTGGGAATGCGAGATCTCAGTTCAGAGATGAGATATATAATTTCAGAATAATGAAGAAAATGCTTTGAGTCTCCTACAGCAAAGTATGAAACTTGATGAGCAGCATGACTGTGAATTTATGTGCAAGTGAACAAGAAGTTGCTCTACTAGTAGGCGAGTAAGCTTTGATATATGTCATCAACATGAGGTCAGCGACATAGCCTACTTTTAGAGCAGGCAAATCTCATGTGGTCAGTGCAAAAAATACTTGCTTGACTATATATTTTTTTCACTGGAGGTAGGGTGTAAGATGTACTACAGAAGCAGCATGAACCTAGGCTTGCTACAGGATTCCCCCTTCCCATATGCTTTTCTGTGAATACTTCCAGCCCTGAGGACCTGGGGGTTGTGTGTGATTACATGGAACAATATCTTGGCCGCTATAATAAGGCAACAGTTTTACAGTTGAATTTATCACCAGTGCCCACAAAGCCTTTAATTCCCAGTTCACTTTCGTGTATCACTTTGGAACCGAAGTCAAATTCTGCCCTCAGACCTGCAGGTTTCGTATGTGAAGGTCTGGGTGTTGACTGGGTGAGCTCTCCTGACAGGCAGCTCATTTTAAGTCTAGGAGATGCTAATGCAGAACAGGAAACAGTTATTTGGATGTGAAGTAGATTCTCTGTGCTGGGAAACTGAGAACAATGTTGACTCAAGAAGGGCCCTGATCCCGAAGGTTTTGGACAACCTACTACTTACAAAGTATTTACCTTGCCAGAACAGCTCTGTATGGTGTTTTTATCACAGAAACGTAGCAATGTTAGAAGACCATGTAGTATCAGTAATGCAGTAGCAGAATTCCTCAAGAGACTATTTATCCTTAGTTCTTTATTTTCATGTTCCTTACTTCCAAGCTTCCACTGTCATCTCTTACAGCTTATGGAGTTTCTCTTAGAAAATACTATTAATGACTTATTTAGTGCTGCAAAGAGAGCTCTTCTAGAATAATATTCACTTCATAAAATGTTAGTGAACATCATGTCCCTATTTCCAATCTGTTTTACTGAATATCCTTGGGAAATAACTTCCTTCAGAGGTGATTTAGGAATTAAAAGGAGGAGGAGGGGAAGGGAGGAGGAGACACAGAGTAATTACTTGACCAAGTTTCTTGAAGGCACATTCATTTCCAGAAGGAAGCTATATACTTTGGATATTTCTAGAGTTTTATTCTAGGATCTCAGCAGTACTGTCAAACTGTCTCCTTGTGAAAATACTCAAAAGGTCAAGTTTATTTGTAGCTGCACATTTTTAAGTGGGTTACATCATATATTTCCAGCTCTGTGAAATGAAGAACAAGACGTTGACTCCAAAAAAATAAGGTGAACTCCCCTAGGGAGTAGGCTCCTCTGCCTGCTTGACGAGGATGCTGCTATAAGAGATGTGTAAAGGTTCATTTGTTCAAGGATCATTCATAGCTAACCTTTTCTCTTAAATATTATTATGCCTTTCATGTAACAGGTCAATTTCCAAATGTAGGAAAGTGGTTAGCTCTTTGGCTGATAATATCTGAAAGTCCTCACTGTCCTCATCCTGAGAAGGATGCCAGCCAGCTGTAGTGAGATCTGAGGTGATATGCAGCTGAAGGGAAAGGAATGTTTACCTCCCAGCAGTAATTCTGTCTTCTTCAAGATATTAAAGATGACGACACGTTTGTGACTGACAGATCCAGCTACTAATATGTTTTAGTCTTGCCCGCAGTGAAGCATATGGACACGTATAGCAGGATATACATACCGACTGAAGCTTCCTGAAGAACTGCTAGAGGTTAAGTAAATTCCATGTGAAACCAGTGTAAGAAAGGGTGTCGGAGAATATTGTGGCATAATATTTATTCTGGAGGGTTTCTGGAATAGCTGTGATCATAGGTAAATATTTTTGCCCCAAGGATTTCCTGTAAAGGAATTGTATTTGAGCAGGGCCCTTTTTACAGCATTTTAAATACATTCCAGCCTCCTATGCTCATAAATATTTTAATATTATAATGTCCTTATCTCAATGAAGAGGGATCAGCTAACAGAGTTGTTGGCTGTGCTACATCTGAGCAGTCTGCTAGAAATATAACTTTGCTGAGCATCAAAACAGTTTTGTCTACTTTGGGATTTTCCCACACTGGGAACTTGACGTTTAACCTTTTGGCCACCCAGCATGAAAACAAAATTGTGCTACTTTTATCTACATGGGAGCACATTAAATAAGCCTGAAGTCAAATGTAAATGAAGGAAGTAAGGAACAGCATTGCTTTGAAAACCTTTTTATTTTAATAATTTGCACGGATTCTCATTGATGGAAGACAGATTACTTTGCAAGGAAAAATTCAAAGAAACTTGCTTGAAATAAATTGGTTAAAGATTAAACTGCTGTAACATAACACATTTTTGACTGCAAGCAAAAAGTACTTTCAGCAGTAAATGTTGGCTTCTTTAGCTAAAGTAGTCACACCTTTGTCAGTTGGAAAAAACAAAAAAAGCACTGATTTGACTTGGAACACTGCAAAGTTTTGTTTTGTGTGACACTGTTGGAGGTTTACGCGTCATATATGCTTGCACACACAACATTTTTACCTATTTATTTTGTAAAATATTGTAGACATTAATGTAGACATTATTTGTAGATATTCTTAGAAGCTGAAAACTGGAGTATTGTTCTGGCTTTTCATAACTGATTCTGTCAGGTTACTTTTGCAGAGTTTTATCAGCTTGCAGGCATCAGTTTTTCTAATTTTCAAACAGTAAATCCTATATCTGGTATTTAAGTTTATCTCCATGGGAAAACTAGATCTTTTGTCACAGAGTAAAATTTCTGAATTACTGACTTAATGTAATATGAGACTAATATGAGTCTCATTGAATAATATGAGCCTTGGCAAGCAACATTCCTTCTGTGTTTTTTAATAGCAAGGGTAATGGTGTCTTTTGTTTTTTGTTTTTTTTTTTACCTTGTGCACCTTATTTTCATTGAACATGAGCCATAGCATTATTATTTGTCGACATTTTCAAAGTGTTTTAGAGGACGTAACTATTGCAGGCTCATCTTTTCCGTTAGGCCATTTTTCAGCGATGCAGAGTTATTGCATGGATTTCATTGGGTGACCATACAGGTTAATTTGCATTATACCAAATTCAGCCAGACCATATCTCTGAGATAAGACTGCTAATAAGACAAATATGGGACCAGAAATGGAGATTAACCACGTTTCAAGGAAGTCTGAGTAGCACGTTGAAGTCCTTTGGTGAGCATACTTGGCTTTCAGTGCTCTTTGAGTTGTCTCTGCTGATAGACGCAGTATGCCAAAATGGTAATGAGTTTTGAAGTAATTTTGCTTGGTAGAAAGCATAAACTTGCTTCCTTTGCGTTTGCTGTGAATAAATAGAGAAAACAATTCATAAAATAATTGGGAAGGACATTATTTATCATGAAGTTGCAAACATGAGCAGAAGTGTTTTATATGTAAGAAATCACTTTGACATTTGGAATGTAGCCAGCTGCAGGGCCAAGGATGCAAGCTGTGTGAGAGAGGACGGTGCTGTTAGGCAGCAGGGCTGTCCCGCTAAAGGAAGTTCTGTCAGCAGTGCTTTCAGAGTTGACTGACTTAAAGTCAGGTGTCCATAATAAAGATGCAGCTTTAGACTGCCTGCTGTAAATGCAGTACTTCTAGAAAGGAATGTTTAGGAATTATATTGAATCCTTAAAAGACCTTATGTTAGGGAGAGAGCATTATCATCGTCATGGCTTCATTTGCATATAATAATTATGAAACTTTGTAGGCCTTTTTCCAGATCTTTTAGACTGTTCATAAATACATTTGAAGCATATATTTACATGGAAGCACACGTAATTGAAATGTAATACTGTCTGTTCAGAAAAAGTACCCTGCCAAGTTACTATTTGGTCTTCAATTGAATTTTTATTTTCCATGTTTTGATAAGCTGACATTAGGATGCGTTTTCTTGTGGAAAACGTTTCCCTCTAAATGTTTCGTTTGTCTGGTTATGGTTTATGTACAAGTGCTGAATCATCTAATCTATTTTAGAAATTGTTTTAAAATATCCTGTTGGTGTGAGGATTAGGTAAGTGGGGGAAATACAGAGCAACATGGTAGCGGAGTTTGGGAGAGGAAGGGGTAGAAGGATAGTAGCTGTGAGCTGTTTGATTTCCACTTTAAATGCTTAGATTTTTGTGGGAATAGAGAAAAGATAAGTGTATTTATTACACTTTATTATTATTTCTTTATTTATTATTTCTTTTATTTCTTTGGTTCACTTTGGGTTTCACTTCTTGTGAAGTTGGAGGATGGGAATTATGGCTATCTGCTAGATTACTGGTTTCAGCTGTAGGGCTATTTTTTTTTTTTTTCCTCTGAAAGTTCTGTAAACCTAGGTAGGTTGGTGTATATAAGCAGGTAAACCAGAACTACCCTGCTACTCATACATTTTGCATAATACTACTGCTGGGAGTTTCGTGACATTCGACTTGAGGGAAATGGCTGTGTCCAGTTTTTAAAAGGCAGAGAGCTATAATGTGATACAAGACCATTGTAATTAGTAGACATTGCCAAGAGGATTAGTAAACAGAAGCGTTAAAAAAACTCCTTTCTTTTGTTTGTCAAAGAGATGTACTTTCATGAAAGTTTTTGAAGATTTTTTTGATAATTACTGAGAGATTTAGTCTGGGTAAGCTTTAAAACTTCAAATAGAAGTTGGAATCTTAGTGAGTTCTACTCACTGCTTCATCAACCCTGCTTTCCCTGAGGTAGTCAGCATCTACTTTCTCTGTCTTGTTGATGTGTCTGTTAGATTGGATACTAGCACTGCTACAATGATTGCCTCACTTGGGCATGAGTGCAAAATAAATCAAAGGGGAGCAAGTTGTGATGTCACTAAAATGCGCATAGCTGCCTCACTGGATTATCATCTGCTAATATTGGGGAGAAATAAAAATATTTCCTAATTATATATTAGGAAGAATTCCTTAAATGAGTGCCTGAAGAGGTCTAGGTTGAGGTCGTGCTTTAGAATATCTTGACTCTTTAATTAACATTAGTTAATTCCTAATAATTAAAGATTTTTATTAAAGAGAGTTACTGTATGTTTCATGAATTGATAAGCAGTAGTAGAAGAAGAAGGAAAGCTTTGAACAAGAGATTTGGACTAAAAGTAATAATATTGCCAAACAACAGTTTTATTTCCCCATTCACTAGGGTGTATAACTAGTCTTCTGCAGCCAGATCCTGCCTAGCTTTTACTTGGACACTTTTGTATGAGACCAGTGATCTAATATGGTAACTTAAGTCCTGTATACGTTTGTTTTAATTCACGTTAGATCTTTAGCAGAAACGGCCTTGTTTGGTTCTTTTACATGAAACCACAAAATTCAAAATAAAAATGGTATTGTTATTCCTCAGAATAAAATTATACTGAAGCCTACAGTATCCCTATCAGTTGAACCCGAAATAGGTGCACCCTGCTGCTAAAAAAAAAAAAAAAAAAGTGATATTTTCTTCCCACAAAACTGCAAGTTCCTGTGGCCTAAGTTCTGGAACAAATACCGTACTTGTGGAAAGGATCCAGGAATTTACCTAGCTAGAAAATACCACCACCAAAACAAAAAGTTCTCAGTCAGATCAGTACCCTTAGCCAATGTGACACTTAGCAAAGCCAGCCTAAGTGCCAGAGTGAGGGCATGCAGAGTATCGACTCTTTAGGGAGGTACTGCTCTTTTTGGTGGCAAGTTATACTCATGTCGGCTTAAAATTACTTTAAGCTGGAGGGTGAAATGCTGGCATGGGCTGCAGTTAGAGGGGAAAAAGTAGATTGGCTGAAATGGAGCAGAAGTTAAGATTTTGCAGATCTGTGTACTGACATGAGTTGTTAAGTTTAAGCGTGTCTTGAAAATTCTGTGTTTGCAGAACGTTAGTTTATTCTTGCAGTAGCACAGAGCACTTAACATAATGTTAAACTACGTGTCTGAAAACTTAAGAAATGCTTTTCTAAGTGTCTCAAGGGAAATTTAAGCAACAGTACCTGAGGTAGTGTGAATTCTCAAAGAGCAAAGAACCTCAACATGGGCTCCAGATATTACAATGATCAAAAAGTAACATGACATTTCTTAAATCTGCATTATCCACAGATTCTCCTGATTTTGTAGGATTTTGATTCATTACGCATACTTCATGTGTAATGTGGCCTTGAAGCAGTTTCTTCTCTGAAAGTGGGCTTTGCAGCAATATTGCTTACAATTACTTACTCATGCTTACTGCCTGCATTTATTCAAAAGCATGTTTGTATGTAATAGTGGTAAAATGACCTATGCATCAGAAAAAAAATACATTATTAAACTTCAAATACAGGAATAATCAGTTATGTCACTACAAGCCTTACTAAAAAATTGAGTTAATGTAAATCTTGCATGAAGCCATGCATAGCTTGAATGCCACTGAGCTACAGAGGATCAGCATGACCATAATATTCAGACAGTGAGGTAGTCCGTAAATATTTTGGCTTACATATTGGTATGTAAGAAGAGAATTCAGCTTCTTTCTTTCATCCCAAGGTAATTTTGTTGATCTGGCTGTTAGAAATTATTTTTTTGTCATATGTTTAATTTAGTCATCACTTGAAAATGATGAAACATGGAAGACTATGGTGCCATGTTTTAAAGCTGCTTTTCAGGTAAAAGGGTATAACCTGTTATATTTGTATATACATCAGTCTACTGAAAATTAAGTGATTCTATAAACATTTCTGTTAAAGTGTTACTTTCTATGACGGTTTTTTCCATTTAAACTTTTTTTTTTAATCAAATACAAGCAGTAACTTTGGGGGGACTAGAGACAGTGCAGAAAGAGAACTATGTCAATAGTCTTTTTCTTTCTAGAAGGCTGGGGAAATATCCTATATCTAATATTAAAGTGTTACAGTTCATATATATAGAATCAGGAGTTTAGGAGTTTTTTGTTACATTGTTAGACATATGTGGGACTCTTTGGTGTTTTTTTTTTTTCTAATAGAAGGTGATCACTTATAGACACATTCATTTGTGCTGTATCTGTTCTACAAACATAATTTAAACTCTTAGTTACAACTAAGGCCACAACACTTACTTTTGCTTCACTGCAGTAGTCTTACTAATGTGTTCCTTTTTCAGAAGACTGTGTACTGTATGGAAAACAGGAGATAAGTGAACCTACATTTTGAGCACCTGATAGAAATGTGCTTTTCCGTCTAATCACTGAAATCTGAACCCTATTCTTAAAGAGGTTTTTGAAAACCAATTTCCACTTGTAGTTTAAGACTATTATCTCTTAGTAGACGTTAACTGTAAACTTCTCCCAACTTGTTATATTTCTGTTTAGATGCCTCTCTTAAAAACAAACTCTTTTTGGCTATTTTCTTAGCTGTTAAAAGAAAAATAGGCCTTAGTTAAATGATCTGCTATTCGTTGCCTTTTCTTAGTTTGTTTTGACACCTAAAGAATTTTTTAGGTACATGTGAAGTGACAATAGTGAGGACAATGACAGCATGGACAATTTCACTGATAAATACTATATTCCTGTCTTAACATAGTGGGAAAAGTTAACTATATCATTGTTCTTCCTTTTATGAAACTGTTTGGTTTTGATTTTTTTAAATCTCTGAATAACAACGTTTAGGATACTTATATTTCCTTGAAGATAGTGATTCTGCAGAAAAACGTGGTTGATCATGGATCTAAAAAAGCTTTTCAGTTAGTGGTAGCATGCTTTCTGTTATAAGACTTGTCAGTGTAACACAACAATGTAATAATTTAGAACACTTACAATTTTATATTAATAAGTTTACACATACGTCAGTCAGATGGTAGAAATACCGGATACTCCTGGTATTTATAAACTCTAATGAGCTGTGTGAACTTAATGCCGTATAGTACTTGTATAATTCTGGAGGAGTAACTCTGCTGTTCTCCTTTCCTGTTCCCCAAAGTATAGTAGCTTTGATTGCATTAGATACTTGAAACAGTGGTATCCGTGCAAGGTTTACACACAAGTAATGTGGCGGTATCTTGCCTGTTGTTCTCAACAGCCACACTTTACACTAAGAAGAAATACTAAAATAGTATTATTTCCTTTTTTTCTGTAAATTTCAGGCAATTGAAATAATTTTAACAGTCATTTAAAGTCTAACTGCTAAAGTTACCTACCTGGTCTTTCTCGAGCTAAAGTTGCCCTTTTTTCTATGACTCATGAGCAAGGGTAGTTTCAAGAGTTTTCGTGCTTGAAGGTTTATTGCTAAAATTACAGAAAATTAAAAATGATAGCAATGAAATCCTGATCATAATTTTCAGCTCTTATCATAAAATAACACCTGGATGCATTTAACTTTACTAATTATCACCATGACATTTACAGTTCCCTTATAGTGAATGGCAATGTCAATTGTAAAACAATACTTTTTCATACATGAAAATTTTTCCCTTCTGTCTTTGAAGGTTACAGGAAACAGATCAGACCTTGAAGATTTGCACCTTTATGCAACTCCTCGGGAGCAACGGTTTCGTAGGTTTGCCAGTTTAGAATTTGAAGGACAGCTATATATGACTCCATATGACTTCATTCAGGCTGTCACAAATGATGAACCTAAACGTAAGCAGGTGTTTTGTATTCTTAAAATTGCTAGGGAAAATGCTACTAGTATATGTTGTTTTTCCATTTGTTTTTGGTTGCTATTTCTGTTTCTGATTGTGGTGAAAAGATACTACTGAGTCTTCCAGATATCCAAGTACATGCATTTAGTATTCTGACTGCCATTAGGTTTTAAACAAATCTGTGCTACTTTCTGATTCCCTTCGAAGTTATTAGTTAAACATTGAAGTCTTACATGTCACACAGAGCTCAGCAGGCATGAAAGACAAGAAGTCAATTTGTGTCATTTATATTGCCAATTCTGTTTTCTTTCTAAACAGTATAATGTTGCTATAAAACTCTTACATCCTTCTCTGTGCTTTCTGTGTAAATGGGCAGGCAGGATATAAGTTCTCTAAATAGTTTAGAATAACTTTGTTTTGTAGCTTTCTCCCTTTTTGAATGGTCACCTACTTGTTTGTTTTTTGCGGTGGGGGGGGTTGTGCCATATAGAGATTCTAGAACTATATCATGGCCTTCTAAAAAACGTACTTTGAGCAGGAGTTTCAGTCCCTCAGACGTTCTGCTTTCTACACTTAAAAGTTACCAGAGGCAACGCTATGTGTTAATTAAATTAATGTAAAACAAACTATCATCTTTAATTCACCTATTGTCGATTTTAGCTTTAAATATCAAAGACTGACTAGATAGTAAAGTGAAATACTGCAATCCATTTCTGATCTAGTTTGATTTCCTGGCCGTCAGGCTTGGAATGTGCCGGCAGCAGAACACAACTTCAGGGAAAAGTGAATATATTACTTTGCTCAGGTGTAACATTTATGACAACTCACCTTAGGTCAGTCTTCCTAAAATCTGCAGCGCAAAGCTGAGGTAGAGAACTCTCAAAAACAGCTGAAACAGTCAGAGGACAGCTTAAAGCTCTGGGCAGATGTTAGATTTTTCCACTTTGTTCTCTTAGCAGTAATGAAATAAAGAAAAGGATTTAGCCATGGCACATCAGTAATCAGAACTTCTATAACTTTTGCATGGAGATATAATCTCCTTATAACAACGAAGACGACTGAGAAGGTAGATCTTAGATGATAAAATCTTCAAAAATTTTGAAACTCTTACCAGGAAGTAGTTCTTCACTCTTTTTTTCTCTCCACAGTTAAAAGCGAGAAAGCAGATTCCTTATCATGGAAACTGATACAAATACACACCCAGAATTTGTATGTACTTCCTCTGCCCACATACCCAGATCTTCCTCTTCCTGTTACTGCTGAGTTGGGTTTCACCAGTTTTTCCCTGGACAGCCTGTCCCCTAACATAGACAAATATGATCATGAAGCTGTTGTAACATATAATGGATGTTTTTTGGTTGGAGGGAGGGAAAAACCATTTAGCTTTAACTCAGCGTATGATAGTTTGACCAGTCTGACCACACTGTATATGTCTGGTACACTATTAAGATGGTGCCATGCTCACCAACAAGGAGGAGATCCAGAGTTGGAACCTTTCCGAGTTCAGGGTAGTAAACCTTGTTTGTATCAAAATCCTTTTAGTTCACCTCATTAATCTCTGAGACCAGAGGCAAAAGTAACCTGGATGTCTTTTACTTTTAGAGACTACGTAACTGAGATGTTTATATTAAGGGATAGTTATATATAGGGTAAACTAAATAGAACTGGGTGACTTCAATATGATGGAAGTCATATTGTCTGGGATACTCTAAAAACTTGTTAGGCAGAAGGCTGACAAGTACGAAGTAATAGATGAAGTGGATGACCTGCGGGTATTACCACGTTCAACTTCTGATCTCCGACTGTGTTAGTTTTCATCTTTGTCAAAGTATGGCTTTGTCAAAGTACTACTTTGTCAGTTTGGGTAAGTCTTAATTTTCTGTTTTGCTCTATTCAGGGTAGTTTGTTTAAGGAAAGTGTTTTTCTGAATAAAATAATAAATGAGAAACATCATATTATGGTTTTTGTAATCATGTTGAGTTTGTTTTAAGTTGTAACTGATTGGGTCTATGCAGGCTGATGTACTATAGTATCTCTATCTTGTAGAAAAAAGAACAGACACTTGGATTTTTTTATGGATGAAGTTTTGTCAGAAAGCAAAAATGCCCTTTGAAGAGTAATAATAGTAGCTCTTTACCTCTGCTTTACAGAAAAGCTAATAAGGCTAGACCTGAATGAGATTTCTGATAGAATGAATGCGTCTATTGTGATTGATTTACTCTGGAAATCTTGTAAACCCTGCAAAAGTCAAGAGGGTATTCACTTCCTTTTTTGATTAAACACTCACTAGTATTGTAAACATATATTTTCTTTTATAAAATCTAACTTTTGACTCCAGGCAGTCATAGAAAATATAAAATAAACACTATGATTAACCTTATACTCCTGTCTTTATGGTGCAGAATTTCATTTAGGGAAACTTACTATGCATTACTACTAGAAATTTTATATTTTTATCATCTGAATAAATGTTTATATTTTCAGAAAGCCAATTAAAAAAAGAGGAAGTATATTTTGTTCCCTTTATCTCTAGTCTGGCTAACTATAAATATTTTAGTCTAATACCTAGCTGTTAAAACTTCACATTTAAAACTTCACTTGCTTGTCTAGAAAGATAAACCTATATTTATTAATGACTGGAAAATTATCTAATTGGAAAGTTAGATATATTCATTTGCTTGTATTTTTTTTTTGTAGTAGGCATAAATATAAATCAATCTATATCACAGAGGAAGTTGTTCTATAGTGTTTTGGTATTTTGAGACAAGGCTTTAATTCACATGAAAAATATTAAACTGAAAGGTGTATGAAAATATGTTAGCTCATCTGATGTTGTTTCATATAACCCCACTCAGTCATGGTAGAAGAGGGATTCACAAACGCTTTTAGTGCTAACCGTGACTGAGATGTAAAACTAAAATTTCAGCAAGTGTCTGTGAACTAATGAAAGACCATTGCATGTAGCTTCTGTATCTTGATAACTGTTTAATGAAATAGGAAGTTCATTCAACCCACAAGGAAGGGTTTTGTGATACCACAAGGTGTTCTGCTGTATAAAAATGAGCTGTTATCTATCAAAAAAGTAATTGATTTGACCACACAATAAGCAGTTCTTTTGTACCTGTGAATTGTGAACTTGTCACCTGGCCATCTGATATTCACAGTGCATTGATACCTTTAATACTGAATCTGTGCAAAAGTTTGTTTTGAGAGGGCAGTGATGGACCACAAGTCTTGAATTGCTGGCTGATTTTAGACAACTAGTGTAAATCTTTTTTTTTGCTCCTGAACTCTGTCATTTAAGGGCTTAGGAGGAGAGCATCTACTCAGTGTTACTCTTTATCAGTTTTCAGTTTTGATCACCAGTTCACGAGCTCCTCTGAACTGGAGGTCCTCTCCAGCTCTCTGCTAAAATTAATTGTGAAAACTTGAGCTTGAGAGAGGCTGTTAAATGGCAGCGTGAATCTGAGTGATTAGGAATGGCTGAAAGAAGTCTTAGCTTCAGATGTTATTTCAAGGATTTTCCTGTATTTGCTTTCAAAAGTTTGAATACTCCCTGAAGCAGGCCCCAGAATCCAGATCTCCCCTACAATCGGGGTTGTAATGCTACTACTACTAAATAATAGCTTCAGGATATTGATACCACAGATTATCCTGAATTCTCTCTGTTACTTGTTTAGTGTTATAATGGTGCATTTTGGAGAGAGAAAGTTTTTTTCTCTAACTGAAGTAGAGTTTGATTTTAAAACTGTACATTTTAAATGTTTCGTTGAAGTTAGGAGTCTAGGTATATATTAAACTAATTTTTTTAATAACAAATAAAATGAAGTGAATTACTTTGAGCCAGACTGACAGAATCACAGAATGGTTGAGGATAGAAGGGACCTCTGGAGATCATCATCACCCCCGCACAAGCAGGGTCACCTAGAACACGTGCTCAGGATCGTGTCCAGACAGCTTTTGAGTCTCTCCAGGGAAGGAGACTCCACAACCTCTCTGGGCAAGCTCTTCCAGTGCTCTGTCACTCTCACAGGAAAGAAGCTTTTTCCTCGTGTTCAGATGGAGCTTCCTGTGGTTAAGTTTCTGCCCATTGCCTCTTGTCCTGTCGCTGGACGCCACGGAGAAGAGTCTGGCCCCATCCTCTTGACACTCCCCCTTCAGATGCTTAAACAAATTGATGAGATCACCTCTCAGTCTTCTCTTCTCCAGGCTGAACAGGTCCAGCTCCCTCAGCCTTTCTTCGTAGGAGAGATGCTCCAGTCCCCTCATCTTTGTAGCCCTCTGCTGGACTCTCTCCAGTAGTGCCATCTCTCTCTTGTACTGGGAGAGGCCAGAATTGGACACAGTAGTGCAGGTGTGGCCTCCCCAGGGCTGAGCAGAGGGGCAGGGTCACCTCCCTCCACCTGCTGGCAACACTCTGCCTCACGCACCCCAGGAGACCATTGGCCTTCTTGGCCACCAGGGCACACTGCTGCCTCATGCTTAACTTGTTGTCCACCAGCACTCCCAGGTCCTTCTTGGCAGAGCTGCTTGCCAGCAGGTCAGCCCCCAACCTGTCCTGCTGCATGGGATTATTTCTCCCCAGGTGCAGGACCCTGCACTTGCCTTTGTTGAACTTCAGGAGGTTCCTCTCTGCCCACCTCTCCAGCCTGTCCAGATCCCTCTGAATGGCAGCACAGGCCTCTGGGGTATCAGCCACTCCCCCCAGTTCTGTATCATCAGCAAACTTGCTGAGGGTGCACCCTGTCCCTTCATCCAGATCATTGATGAATACGTTGAACAGTACTTGACCCAGTATTGATCCCTGGGGGACACCGCTAGCTGCAGGCCTCCAACTAGACTCTGCACCACTGACCACAACCTTCTGAGCTCTGCCATTCAGTCACTTCTCAATCCACCTCAGTGTCTGCTCATCTAGCTCCTGCTTCCTGAGCTTACCTAGGAGGATGTGATGGGAGACAGTGTCAGAAGCCTTGCTGAAGTCAAGGGAGACAACATCCGCTGCTCTCCCCTCATCTCCCCAGCCATTTGTCTCCTGACAGAAGGCTATTAGGTTGGTCAAGCATGATTTCCCCTTTGGTGAATCCATGCTGACTACTCCTGATCACCTTCTTGTCCTCCATGTGCTTAGCGATGACCTCCAGGAGGAGCTGTTCCATCACCTTGCCAGGGATGGAGGTGAGGCTGACAGGCCTGGAGTTTCCTGGCTCCTCCTCCTTGCCCTTTTGGAAGACTGGGGTGACACTGGCTTTCTTCCAGTCCCCAGGCACCTCTCCTGATCTCCAGGACCTTTCCAAGATGATGGAGAGTAGCCTGGCAATAACATCCACCAGCTCCCTCAGCACTCGCGGGTGCATCCCGCCCATGGGAAGTCAGGGCCCATGGACTTCTGGGTTAAATTAGTTGAAGATTTGTCTCATGAAGTAAGCACAGAAAAAAGCTACACAACACTGAGTACAGAGGTAGTCTGATTTTTATGACATCACGTTGGCATAACTAAATTCTGTGTATTCATAACTTTTTGTCCTTTGTTGCAGATGCTAAAAAGTGGAGATCCCTTTCAAAGCAGGTGGGCAATAATTCCTGTGCTTACAACCACAGATTTTGCTACGGTTGCTTTCTTTTATGATGTAAATTTGCAGCCGTAGAAGAAAGATGGGACTTTTTTAGTCTTCATCAGAAAGCTGAGACTTTAATTCCTTTGTTTTGTCACATCAGACTTATCTGTGAGATTCTGGAGTCAAATAATTGAGCAGCTATACCTGCTATTTGTGCTTTACTAACTGTTCTCAAAATACTTTTTTTTTTTTTTTTAACATTTCTACAACTGCAAGAAGACTGTATCTGTATCCCTGCATTGAGAGTAAAGTATGTTTATGTATGTTTATGTTCATTAATGAAATTTACTTTAGTTCGGATTGTGTTTTAAAAGAAAAGTTACTTGGAACTTATATCAAAAGCTTACTGAAATGAGCGGGGGCTTTTTCTTGGCTTCGGTGAACATGGGTAGCAGTGAATTTCACAAACAAATTTGTTTTGCGTCTCCAGTTCTGCAGATTTGCTCAGATTAGCAATTCAATGACCAGTCATATATGCAAAATGTATGTATATGCTTGAGCACTTCTGAAGTGATTGTGATAAACTGTAATTAAATTAACTAGTAGATTTGCATACAGTTCCTTGTCTTGCATCTTGATTTCCTAGCATTTACTGGTAATCTGATAGTATCTTCATTAAATAGTCAGATATGTATATTTATGTTTCTGAAGTCTTTTTTTGTCTTTTTTTTTAGGAATTGAATCAAATACTTATGGAGACACCACCAGTTTGGAAAGGATCATCCAAACTCTTCCGTAATCTTAATGAGAAAGGTGAGGGATGAGAATTTACTTTCCTGAACCAAATTATTACATGTATTATGTTTATTCTGGGTAAAACAAACTTGTACTTCTCGCCTGAGTCCCCTCTTCAAAAAGTAAAAAGTCACTGTTTTCTACATTTTAAAGAATAGAAAAGTTCCCTTTAGTATCTCTACAGTGTTTAATCGTGTCATCTTGTGGCTAGCCTCTGTAAGTGAATTGGTATTTTAGAATAAATATTTCAAGTTCAGTTTGTCCTCATGAAGAATCATCGGTAGAACAGAGAGAGTTTTCTGATGAAGAAACAACATCTCTCCTAATAGGTGCAATGATGTGATTATAGGTAAAGACAGTAATGGTCAATGCTATTATTGAATAAATGCTTTCTTCGCAATACTAAGAGGCAGTTTCAGAAATCTTATATATCCCTTCAAAGCCTGCAGAACAGAGTTTTGATAACTTTTAAAACTTCCAACTATTCAAAATGTTGTTTGGTAGGGAAAAAGCTCCAGATCTCATCTTTTTTTTTCCTCTCTCTTTAATAAGCCACATCCACTTAAAATAGCTGCTACAAATAATTGCTTTAAATAAATCTGCTTTACATATATATTTAAAATATTCATGCCAGCAACAAAATTTCAATGAAACTTTTGCCTTTAATTCAGCAAATATAATTCAAATCAGCTGAAACTTAAGAAACGAGTTAGTAAACAGCGGCTCTCTCTAGAGTGAGGCAGAAACTGGCACCTCTTTGCCTTGTAAATCCTTGTGTTTCCTAGCTCTAGATAGCTGTTTTGATTGTACAGACAGCAGATTCTTGAAATATTAGTTACTTTAAAAATTCAACCTCAAAATCTATTAAATCAATACACTGTTTAAAAAAAAAAAAACCACATCCAGATGTTGCACTCATCAAATCTTAAATGTTGGAGACGTTTTATTACAGGTCTTGATTCAACAATATCTTACTCCAGTTTTCTGCCAGTGAAATTCTATAGAAACTGATGGAATTAGGACAGAATTAAGATTGTCCAATAAGCAGGTAAATGAGTAATAGACTTCAGCGCTTACATAGCATGTTTTATAAAACAAATGAGTTCCATTATGCCATTTTGCAGATAATGTACAAAGAGATGATGGATTTTTCATAAAGTCATTGAGTTAGCCAGTGGCAGGAAAAGGGATAGAATTCAAGTCTCCTTCCCTCTAACTTGGTGTTTTGGTTTAGCTAGATTTATTTAGTCATTTCCTTTAAAACATGCCCATTTTAATATGGAGCAAGTAGCAAAGACCTCAGTCAGTTTATTTTGCCATAGATTCATTTAAATCAGTTGAGCTTCACAGATTTATGCCAGCTGACCATGGGTTGTATTATTTACTGTCGAGTGACCTCTATCTCTTCTTTCTGATCTTTGTATAAGCTTTTCTTTCTGTGCAGTTGTCATTTCAGAGTGTTTCTCCCATAACACTCAGAGCAATCAACCAGAGCTATCTGTCTATAGCTACAATATACTAGTACAAACAAAAGGAGAGAATGCTTTCAAGGCCTTTTATATTGCTTTCTTCATACCTGTGACAGCCTACTCAACAATTGCACTTCCTTCCTCCTTTCTACAACAAAGAAGGTGTCATCAAACAAACTCTTTTTTTTTACATTTATTGACTGGCTATTAAAAAATATTTTACATCTCTGTATCAGAAACTTTGAGGGATCTGATTTCTTGCTATCTGCTTGTCCAAACAGATTCAAGTAGGCCTCTGAAACAGAATTTCTGCACGAAAATAGAATCCAGACAATACAAAGCATAAGGCATGTGTTATTTAAATGCCTGCATTTAATCTTGAATTGCTAATCTTCACTGCGCAAGTTGAAGAAAAGACTAGGCATTAAAAATTTTTAATAGCCTTCCTAACCAGATTTAGTAGCAGTAATAGAAGCTTAGGTCTAAGGACTTAAATTCAGTCTAGGATCAAAAGATGGGAAGGTGCCTTTGTGAATGGAATGGAAGTTGGGAAGGCAAAGTTTCAGTTAGTAAATACTGTGGGTTTTTAATGATTCCGTCCAGTATGTTATTTGATTCCCATAATAACTTAGTCAACTGCCTTTCTTTTGTTTTATCTTCGTAGTCTAGTCTCTGTGATTCTTGTGGAGATTTCTGTGGTTGGTTATTTTGTTCTTGTATGTTTGAGGATGGAAGATAAGATTCTCAGGAAGACACTCCTCTCTCAGGACAGTTAGCATTTAGAGAAGACTACCATCTGATCTAAGTTTTTGGGAGACATTTGGAGAGTGGTATCCAAGAGAAATATGGCTGAGATTTGTTTGGATGTCCTTATTAAAGTGCTAGTGAATAGCTGCTGAGAGTGACTTTGGAGAATGTGTGAAGAAACTTATTCTAGCATTATGATTTTGTTCTTAAATCTATTTTATGTCCATTGTTTTTAGTTATGAGAGCTGCAAATTGTTGCTGTATGGGAAAAGTGGAAATCATGAGTCAGGCTTTGTGGAATCACAGTTGCAGTGGTTTGGATTCTTAATTTTATCAGTGTGCAGAAGAAAAAGTAGAAAACTGCTTCTCATGTCAAAAGAAGTGAGTTTTTTCCCCCAGTGGCTTTGCCTTACAGTTGATATTAAGAGTCTGGAAGGAGCGGAAGAAGCTACAGTAGCATGTTCTTTGGAGACAGGATCGATGGATGAAACAAGAATTGTGCATGGATTAACTTTTGCTGAGGCCCCCAAGCATGCATGTGGTGTTGGACAAATTTTGTCCAAGTGGTGCAAGCCAGGTGTTTGGTACATCATTTTGTTAGTAGAGGATGCAGATGATGGAGTACTTGGGGTGATGTTTTCAACCACTCTTGAGAGCAGGAAATCTCTTCCACAAAGCTGAGAAGATGACAGGAAGTCCTCTTCAATATCATTTCAGGATACAATTAATTTGAAACTTTTTATGCTATAAAGTGTTGGTGAAAAACGACATAAATAAAGTTTCTTATTTTAGCAGTGTCAGAAGTACCAATGTTAAATGTGTTCAATAACTGTAAAATCCACATGGATGACATAATGTTGGAATGTTAATTTTGTATCTGTTTTTAAAAAAAAAAAAAAATTCAGATGAGTATTACATAGTTTGTCACATACTCGATCTAGTGTTAAATCAGATTCTAAAAGATACTTAAGCATCCAAAGGTGTGGCTGGATTTTTAGTAAAACTTTTTAAACTGAACTAACTAGCATAGAATATATTCCTTATAGATCTTATGAGTGTAGACTAGGTAATACAAATGCCTTTAATAGGCCTTTAAAATATTTAACACAATTTACACATTCATTTAATAAGAGTTTTAATATAAATTTCAGGTCTTTATATGCACGTTTTCATTCTAATGACAACTAAAAAGCCAAAACCTATGCTCCCACAAGTAGTGTGGGGCCAGATTTTCGGTTAAGATACAATGTGCACTTACATTTACCAAGCAGATATTAAAGTCAAGGAATGTATTGAAACAGTAGGTATCAGGAGGAAACGCAATTGAAGTTCCAAAAGAAGAATCGTTCATATTGTGGAAGAGTGTTGTCATACTTCATAGCTGGAGTTTTAGGAAAGACCATCAAATACATAATTTATATTAACTTCTAAGAATCTAACCAGCTTCCAGTGAGGTGACTGTAACTATTTATTTGCCTTATTTTATGTATTCTTCCCCTAAAGTACACCCCCCCAAAAAAAGTAAATGTTTTGGACAAAAACCTCGTTGACAGGGTTGAATACAGCCACATGCACGCGAATACTCTTATACATATCCACCTGAACAAAAACACTCCTTCTAATACATATATATCTAATATTTGTAAGTTTAGGAAGGGAGGACAAAGGAAAGCTAATACGATGTACCGTTTTTTTGTCTTCAGGTGTGATATCTTACACAGAATATTTGTTCCTCTTATGTATTTTAACAAGTAAGTAAGTATATGGGGAGAGGGGACGACTTCCTCACAATTTATAAACTCCAAATGTATTCCTATACATTAATTAGAATATTCTTTTCTTCTCTCCTGCCTCCCCCATTATGGAAAAAATTGTATCATGCATCTCTATGTCCATTTGAACCTCTCCTATCCTACTGAAATTTTGTGTTATGTCTCAAGTGCCTTCTCATCTGAAACAGCTTTTGCTAAGTGTTGCGAAAGTTCAGCCATACGCTTCAGCAGAACCCCAGTTAAGAGATTACCTTTATTTTCTTCTTTGAATTCCTTTGAAACTTATGGTTGAACCTATTAAAGTTCATAAAGGACATGGAATATGTGGAGAAGAAAAGATATACTTTCTTACTACTTTGTCCCATCTATTAGTGCATAATGGGAGACATCAATGTGACAATCATATGAGTATCTATTTCTCATTTTTGAAAATCTGTCAAACTAAATGTTTTTTTATATAAGAAAACACTAACAAAATTGAATACTTATTCTTCTACCACCTGTGAAACCAAAGTAGAAGAACCTGTAGCTAGAGTAAACTAAGCCTGATACAAACTTTGTTTTGATACTTTAAGAGGTGCTTTTTAGGAAGGAGCAAAGCATTTTGTTTGTCTTTCCTTCGTAAGTAAGTAAAACATTTCTGTTGGATTCATTAGGGTTTTCTTCAGACATGGTTTGGATTCTGGGCGTGAATCAGGCTGAGCAGGAAGTTGACCCTAAACTCTTTCAGTCCTTAACTGCTGGACCAATGGATATTCTTTCGTTATTTCTTTGTTATCTGGACTAACTTCTGACCATTTGTATACATTGCAAATCACTCAAAATCACCAAAATACTCACTAAACGGTTACCCTCAGAGTCTCATTACTCATTAGTACCAAACCAGCCACTACTGCAAGGTGTTTCTTCCTTGCACAATTCCTGTTGTATTTCCACTGGTATTTCCTCTAATTTATGAGTTTGGAAGCATGCCTTCTTTTTTCATAACATGGATTTTATTAAATCAGTGTTATGCTTTGCATTTACTGTGTACACCCGTGTACCATCTTAAACTGATTGAGACTATGGCTTTTATAAACAGATGCCAAATAATATCTTAGAGCTTTATACTTTTTTCTAAGCAAATGAAGGACTAATTTTTTTTTTTTTTTTTTGGCAGAGCCTCATGCAGGTTTTAGAATTGCTTTCAACATGTTTGATACAGATGGCAATGAAATGGTGGACAAAAAGGAATTCTTAGTGGTACGTGTGTTAATAGCCTTTGACTATTTTGTTGTAATCTTGAAATTCATTCTTTTCCCAGATTCATGCTCAAGTTCATGAAAACCTATAAAACAGTAAATAGTAGCTCTTTATTACAGTGCACTTGTGTATTGTATATGATTTTTTTAATGTTTAATTCCAGTTTTCATCTGGATCTTCTTAATTGCTACTACATTCTCAGATAAATAGACCATTAAAGTAATGTTGCTGTACCTATAGTCAGCAGAGTTATTTGATTGCCGTAATGATGGAGGAACTTATGAAATAGTATTTTCCTTTGAGACCACTTCACTTTGTCATTCATTCTTCTCATGATACCACCAGGTGACTTGATAGTGTTATACTATGTCAGTCAACGTTTTCACCTGTTTTGGACAAGATCTGCATTGAAATAAAATACACTATATGTGCATCTAGCTTAGGCCTCATTACATCCTGTTCTATCAAATCACTGCACTGTGTATTTATAAAGACATATTTTCGTGACCATACACTGAAGCAATTTGGGAAGCTGGTGTTCACTGATTCTTTTAAGGATAATATTCTTGTAGCAAAATTGACTTTGAGCTGAATAATTTCAAAGTGCTTTTGAAGAATGGCAGGACTTCTAGAACTTGGGAATATTTTTGTTGCATCCAAGGTTTTTTTTATATTACAAATCTGAATTACGGTATTTGTCAAACTAGAGCTTTGCTTGCTTTGTTGCTTGAACAAAGCAGTCCCATAGATTCTTTTTGTTAATTATTTAAGTATAGGGGTTTTCTACTTTTTTTTTTTTCCTTGCTAGAAATTTAAACAGTTCCTCTTTGCTTATGTCATAGGGGTGAGGTCAGGGAACAGAAGGATTGTGTTCCCTTATTACAGGAGATCTTGTTTTTGCTGCTTTCAACAGTCAATCTCATTATCCTATTTCAAACAGTGTTCCTATGAAAGTACTCCCAGATCCTTTCACGTTTGCTTTTCTACTCATTGGTATCCTATAGCACTCTTTCTGAACAAAAGATCCATTTCCAAAAGTTTAGCAAGTGCTTTAATGATGAGTGCAACAAAATCCTACTCCCTTTGCTTCTGTGGCTGGAGAAATATATCCAGGGATGCATTACTTTTTTCAGATCTTTTTTGGTTTTTCATTTACTGCCACTCTTCTCTCCTCCTTGATGGCTTGTCACTTCACTTTTCACAAGGTATTTTCTTTCTACTTCTGCCTCTTCGTTTACCTTTCTTTTTTTCCTACAGTTTTGGGTTGCAAACTGTGTAATACTCTAGGCCATCAATCTTAGCTAAAAGCCCTCCTATCATATCTCTTTCCTCGTCAGGATAGGTTACAGTAATTTGTGCTTGTAGATTGGCAAAAAAAAAATTAGAAAAACATACCAACATCTGTAAATTGTTCTTGCACTTGAGAACAGATACTGTGACACACAGAATATCCTGGTCTGTGTTTGTCTTCTAGTATTAATGATTAAAGTATTCCAGAATACTGTAGCTAGTTTTGGAGATTCTTAAAAATGTGATTTCTAAATGCCTTTGCTGTTTGATCTCTAAATACTACTACATTTACTTATTTCATTTCTGTCATACCCCTGCAGTGCAGTTTGGTGATCCCTTTGTCTTACTCGATTGCCTTCTCTGAAATACGTTATTCTGAAATTTAAAATTTGCTTGCAAAATGCATCACATACACTTCACATTCAAATCCTTGTGGAGCTCTGTGTGCTTGTCATTACAGTATCAGGGCTTTATCAGACGTTGGTAGGTAAAGTCCAATCTTTGAAGCATCTGCCACAACTGCAATTATGGTACCACCATTGGTATGTCACAAGTTGAATGTGTTCTAGATCAGACAAATTTGTTAGGAATAGGGTGTACTCTTTTTCTGGCCTCTCCTTTAAGACTAGCAAATGATAATACTTCTTAATACATCAGATGTGTAATTGTATACTTGTATAATATTTTCAGATGCAGTTTTTGAAAAGCTCAAGTTCCTTAGTGGAGATATAGATGGGATCATAGTTAATACTTTCTGCTTTAAAGACAAAATATTAATGTGTCACTGCTTCTTCTAATTTTGGGTGATTATTAATATTACAATAAATACAAATAAATTATTTAAAAATTTTTAAAATATAGAAAATTACAAAGAAAGATAAGTATAAACAAACCATTCCTTAGTCTGAAGACTTTGCCATTTCCAAAAATACTTATTTTTAAGAATCTCTCAAAATCTTTTATATTTTGAATTTGAGGTTATCTCAGAAGTAAGTCATGTTTAAAGCTCCTAATGCAGAGAAATCTGTGAAAGGTTTTTATTTTATTTTTATTTTTATTTTTATTTATTTTATTTTATATTATTTATTTTGCAAGACTAAAAAATATTCTTAAAAGGGCTTAGGAGAAAACCCATTAAGCAAGGGTTGAAGGGAGTTGAAAGGGAGTGTTTCACCCCCAGCAGGTGTTTCCGCTCCTCCCTTGTGCCAGTAGTAGTAAGAACTGATGTGACTGGAAAATAATATGAAAAAAAGGTCGATCCAGCTGACTACATGGCCACATAGATATTAGGACCTGTGAAGAAAGGATATGCTAGGAGGTAGTGAAAAAGGAAGGCTGGAACTCCCCATTTTTGGTAACAGTACAGAAGACCTGGATTAGTTAAAATATAAATTGAATAGCATGTTCTGAATGTTGTGCTCCCAAATAGAGTTGTTAGCTTTATTTTAAAGAAAAAATATTTCCTTTTTCCTTTTTTTATGATGGTTAAGGTAGCTAAAAGAACATGAAGGCGTGAATACAAACAAAAATAAGGTGACTGGAGCACTGATCTTTACCTGATATTTTAGTAAAGAACTGCATTTTATACTCTTTGCAGTGTTTATCGCAATTATTGATTGTTACACATGTGAAATAGCCTGAATGCTAGGTAAGAACAATATAATTTGTTTTGTAGCTACAAGAGATTTTCAGGAAAAAAAATGAGAAGAAAGAAAGAAAAGGAGATGAAGAAAAGCGTGCAATGCTAGTAAGTATACTAGTTGCAGAATGTAGTTGGGTTTTTTATATATAATTCCTATCATTAAAAGAGTATCTAGGTTAAATTTTGTTTTTTAATCTATATATACTTAAATTAATAAAGTTCTTAAAAAAAAAAAAAAAATGTTTAATTGACTGATAGAAGAAAAAAATGCATATTATATATTTAAATGTTATATTATGTATTATTAAAGTAGCACTGATTCCATTCAAAATCTGTAAATCTAAGTTAAAAACTGAATAGTAATGACCTAATATCATTGGCTGTAAGAGTGAGAGATCTTAATGGCAAGACCAAACTATATTCCTGATCTCATGACTTACTAAAAATGTTCATTTAGACATACTGATTATGATGCTTGTTTTAAAATAGCTGCTCAAATGTGATAAGCAAACTTTGATTTTTGTACTGAAATCAAAATGTTTTATTAAACGCTACTCATGACCAGTGCAAAACGTTTTGAGCTATTTATATTATGTGAATAGATTTTTGTGGAGCATTGAACTCTCATTCTTATTTAAATTTATTATGTGTATGTGAAAGGTAAGTGGGAAATATTAAAGTTTGTGGTTTGTCTGGATGAGATGGCAGCCATAGCAGGTACTTTTTTAGTGGTGGACAAATAAAAATGAACAGCAAGCCCTTGTCAATCCTACAGCAGAAAAAATAGGTTCATTTGCAATGTACCTTTTTATGGCAAAAATTCCTCACTATAAGAAACATGCTGACACATCTACAAAGCTTTCTTAGGGTGCCTGTTATCCTTTTGAGACCATAGATTCAAGACTACAGCTCTTTGTCCTTGAAAAAATGGGAATTTTAAAAAGTGCTAACTCTTGGATTTCAAAAATTCCCTGAGCCAAAAATGAGGTGGTTTTCTTCTCACCCAGAGAGACACATCTTTCTCAAGTTTTCAAAGCTCTATTATATTATTATTATATATTTATATAATACTATGTACTAACTGTTCAGTTAATATTGTTGAATATCTCGCAGACTGTTTGTTTATTCTGAGCAAAAGAAACTTACACCCAAAAGGAGAGCTTTTGAGAAAGGTAAAGAAAGATTACTAAATCGAACATTCCTCTTGGTAGTAATCTCAAGTCTGTACTTATTTTCAATCTCGTTCTTCAAATTTTCAAAAGAAAGTAAACAATTTGCTCTCCACTGCCTTTTTAAAAATCAAAACAAAATTTCTAATATATAAAATGATGATTTTCCTGTCTTAACCTATTCTATTGTCTTTATTTTTTTCCCTTCTGTTGGCTTCATTCTGACATGTGATACTTGGCTTGGCCCATTTTTTGCTGTTTGTCAGCGTCTTCAACTTTACGGATATCATACTTCTACTAACAGTGTATGTACTCTAAACATTTTAATTTATGCAGTCTTCACCAGTGAGGTGAAATAATATGCTATCACAAAACTTGCTATGTTTGTCGTCTTATCAAGTAAATTAGTTCTGCTCACCAGTCAAAATGTGATGGATCTTTTCTTCCACAAAAGGTTGCATATGTTTGTTAAGGCATTTAGAAAAAGGCAAGGCTATCAGGAAGAAAGGTTGCTCTCTCTGTTTAGATTAACAAAAAAAAAAAAAAAAAGAAAATATATTTGATAGAAAGAGGACAAAGTGTACATTGAGAAATTATAGAGCTGGTTTTCATGAACCTATGTATATTAAGTTGTCCTACAGCAATCATTAATCCACGTCCTGTCTTGCCTCCATGTATTTTACATAGAATAATAGTTAAATTAATCTTTCACCACTTTGTCCCCAGAAAGTCAAAAAAAGAAGAGCTCTCTCCCAGTTTCCTTTTTTCAGTGCTTCAACTGCAGAACAAGCAAAGAAGAACTTGCTGTGTTAAAGTTAAATCGTAAAGTCTGTTTCTTTGTTACTTATATATTCATTCACAGAAGTACACAGATTTATTTCTTGTGAAGTTAGCACATACAGTTTGGGCGGTATGCAGGAAGGTAAGCTGTTGAAGGAAAAGGTGCAGAGGAATGACACAGATGCAGCAGTGTTGTGAGAGTAATGCAGTAGGAAGTTGGCCTTTATCAAAAATCCAGTCAGTTGTTTCCATTGACTTCAGTGGATTTTAAATCAGGCATTACTGCAACATGAAAGGTGCTGTACAGTGGTGGCCATATTCCATATGTCTCCTTCTATTTTAAACTGGAGAAAAAATACAGGTAAGTTTTCCTCCTCATATAATAATTTTTAGCTTTAGTAAAAAGATCTCTTTCTAGATATGGTCCTCTCCAGCCACATGCCAGCTCTGTATCAAGATGAAACTCAGGTGTGCATCATCCTTCTCTACCTTTTTACCATCTCAACTGAGTTCTCCATGCAAAGGAAACTTGGATGTTCAGGAATTAACAGTATCCAACAAATCTCCACCTAGTCTGGACAATTGTTATTTTGGGTTTCTGTTTCTCCTACTGAAACAAGAATTGTGGTAGCCTTTTCAGTTTCCCTTGGCATTCTGAGGAGTTAAAAGATGCTCTAGACCAAGGAGATGCAGCTCTAAAATGTCTAGAATAGTACAAAAGTGCTATGTTGGGCCCTTCTCCTAACCATAGTGTTTTTAAAAAAAAAAAAAACTCATTCTTTGACAAGTGTGAAGTTCTGTAAGCCATGTGGGGAGTATTAGTGCAGTTTTAAATAGATTAAATGTTTCTGTATGTTCATTTGCACAGGATGATTCTCTTAAGTCATGTACTGGTACATACTGCAATTGTGTGTTAAGACTAGTTCAGCATGTATTGCATGAGTGCTTTTACTAGCTGAATGGCAACTGAAACATGATAATTATGATGAGAAGCATGTAGGGAGAATAAAATGTGCATGCTCAGAGGTACTAATTCCATTGGCTAAAGTAAATCTCCAATAAGAGATGAAATTCAATGAATACTTACAATACATATATCACAGAACTGTGTAAATTGTATGTATAAGAGTGAGGCAATACATACACATGACCCAGTAAACATCAAAGGGATAAATAAGTGTCAGAGAGAACCTGAAGCACTGCGGACCTAATCCTGTACACATTGAAGTTAAACAGTTTCATTGAATTTAGCAAGTTTGGACTGAGTGTAGTTTTGTATAACAGTGCTGTGACCATTGTATAGGACGTGTTACTCCACGACAAGAGAAGAGAAAACCAGAATGTTTCAAAAATGGAAAAAATATATGTAAAACATAGGTATGATTACTGATAGTTTCAGATTTCTTTGATGACAATTTGCAGAGAGCTGAGTTGCATTGTATAGAGGACAAAAGAATTTAGACTGTTTGGCATGTTTCCTTCCAACAAAGATATTGTAATGTTCAGCAACCAGACACACTTCATATCAAATCTCTTAATGGATTTTTATCTTTTCTTTTTTATAAAATTACATATTGACCTAGTACTGAAATGTTGTTGCTTCTGTGGTATTAAGAGTATTATGTATATAAGATATAAATTAAATAATCATTCCTGTATAAATATGTTTATTTATAAAATACATCTGAGGTAACTAATTACAAGACAGTCCCATAAGCATTGAGTCCCAATTACATTGGTAAGAGCCCTTAAGTAATATCTTCAGTCACATAACTGTGTTACTTCTGGATGTATTTATTTAGCCAGGGGAGCACAGTAAAAACATGTTCACTGAGGAGATACTGTGGTAAAGAGCATTACGGAAAAACCAAAAAAGGTTAACTTTTTTAAATTTATGTGGAAATTTATATATATACATATATACATATACACATATATGAGGTATATTTCTATCATATTTCAGCTGTCTAAAGAATATCATATATTTATATTTCCATGGGTCATATTATGTGGAACCCATAGTTAAAAAAAAAAAATTCGACTCTGTGCAATATTCTTCACAATAACTGATTTTACACATTATACAGGAGTCCCATCAGATTCTGCAAATTGCATGATAGGATACATTTTATGGCACTAAATTTTTAAGAGAACAATATGTGCTGACTTAGGAAAAAATAAGGAAACTTTTTTCATTTGTAACTAGAATAGTAAACTCATTCTGTGTCTGTCTTTTGTGCCCATATGGATGTGAGCTGGGAGCCCTGAAAACAGAAGAGCTGTTTTAGATTAACTTGTAGAGAGAAAGGAAAAAATGCATTCAGTCTCAATAACCCTAACTGAGTTCCAATAGCCTTCAGCTGTGTTCAAGATAGTCTCCCCCCAGATTCTTAGGGCAAAAAAATGAAATGTATTATGTAGCTCTTCCAAGAGTAACTGCAAGGTAAAGGAAGGCTTATTATAAAAAAGGAGGGTTTTTCAGGCTTCCAAAAATGACCCAGAACAGTTAAGAGCGAAAAAGTAAGCAAATTTTCTTTGGAGAGATTAAATGCTTATTTTCTGTTAAGCAAGGTAAGTTTGATTATCAGACCAGCATAATGTTTTGTTGGTAAGTACATTATAGTTAGAAGTTGGGCTTATTAGGCTTGATTTTGTTCTTCCTTATTGTTGCAAGAATGTCATCCTGATTATCTGCTAGAATTAAATATTATATAAGTAATTAGGTGGTGGCATTAGTACTTTGATAAAGGAGAAAACAAATTTTGTATCCTAAGAGTATGAATTAGTATTTTGTTCAGAGAACAAAATTGCTGGAAAAACAGCAGCCAAATACTGTTTATATGGATGTTGTCACATGAACTTTTAAAATAAATTCTCTAAATTATTTTCTTTGGGAAAGTGAAGTCTGATGCTTCTGGCACAGCCACTTTATAAGTAACACACAAATAGCTAGAACAGACAAGTATTGCTTTGTGTCTTTGGTTTACAAAGTGTCTTTGGTTTACAAAGTAACTCTGCGTAGAGATTTCTCAGAGTAGAAACAAAAGAATCAAGCCATACTTCTGAAGAGCAGTTAGAAAACATTTTAAAGTATGTTAACTGTTGCATTACTGTTTTTTGGTTTTCAAACAACTGTGCTTCTTGAAACTTCTGCAGGTACTTAAAACAGAAGGAGAGGACCTTGTCCCCAGGAGCTATTGGGATACTTTGAGACGTAGCACAAGCCAAGCACTCTTTTCGGACCTTGCAGAGGTATAAGGCAACCTCTGTCTCTGGTCCATAAACAAATGGCTGATTTTATTTTATTTTATTTCTGTTTTATTTGTTGTCATATTTTATGCATCTTGTTTCTTTTCTTCATTTTAGATATATTTTTTTAAAAACCTAACAGTTCTCAGATGAAATGGACTTGTTTCCATGCAGTGCTACTATTAAAAGTTGTAATTTCAAAGTAAAAGTAAAGTTACTTTTTGAAAGAGCAGGAGGATCAAGTCCTCGTAAGTCCTTATTGTAAGAAGAATTTTCTAAAATTAGTAGTGATAATATTTCAGTTACAGTAATAATTTAAGAAATCTTTTGACATCCAGTGATGTGATGACTTTAATGAGAATTTTAAACTTTTAACAGCCTTTTAAACTTTTAATCTTTAGGCCCCTTTGTGGACTTTCTAAATGTACTTTTTATATATCAAAGATTATCTTCACAAAAGCAGTACCATGCAAAGATTAGTTTAAATTTGTTGGATCGAAGAAGGAATGTTTTAAGGTAAATGAAACAATTGGTTACATTAGTCAGCCTTTCTGAATACTGCATGATCATTATGGAGGACTAGCAATATCACTGTGCCATCAAATTCATTCACACAGTTCTTAAAACAAATATCTTATTAGAATTTAATGATCTGCTTTCAAATAATTGAATAACGGATACTTATTTGTACTGCTCATTTACAAGAGTCAGAAAACTAGATCATTTAGGCATTTCTGTGCCCCATACAGTGAGGTTGATTGCTTTGCTGGTTGTGACACTAAAGGACACACAGCAACTCCCTACTGACTATCTGGTCTCAAGGCACATGCTTCGTAGGGAGGATCATAATGAAAAAAGAACCTAAAACTGGAAAGGGCCTCCTGGGCAAAACAGTCTTTTTCCTTGCTTCATAAGTAATGTATGCTCCATATTAAAAGTAATTAGTGTTTTGTCCCTGCTGTTCCTATTTAGAAGCTATTTTATAACCTGACAACTTTGGACTTTTTCTGATTTCCAACTTAAATTTATTCATCGTGCCTTTATAGCAGTCCGTTGTCCCTTAAATTTAAGTAGCCTTTTCCTTCTTTGGTGGTACTCTCCTTGCTCGTGGTAGTATTTATAAACACAATCATAGCCCTCAGTTTTTATTTGCTTAGGCTAAGCTAACCAAAGTCTTTGGATCTTCTCATAAGACAGAATCTCCATTTCCCAGGTATCAGATAGCCTGCCTCTGTATCTCTCAGCTTGAATTCATCTGCCTGTGACCAAAACTAAACAGCGTTACACAGTTAAATTTTAGGCTGATTTTTATGGCAGTAATTCATAATCTTCCAATAAACCAGTACAACCAGTCTTTCTTTTCCTTGTTTTTAAATTGATGCACTCTTGAACTGTTAGTCTAGCTATTAGACCTTAAGGACTAGATTTATCCCACCTAATTTTAGATAGGAGCACTGATGTTCTAGGTTCTAGCTAGTCAGCTAAGGGACATATAGAAGGGGGAGAGGGCCTCTCATTTCATTGACTATGTAAGGAGCTTGAGGCGCTGGGTTTTCTGAATTAAGTGTCTTTGTTGTTAATCTACAGTTGGTCGGGATGCATTCAGGCCCAAGTTCAGATGGACTTAAATTTGGTAATCTCTATACACCTCTAGTTTAAGAGGAAAAAGAATTTGTACATCATTAGAGCTACCTTAGTCTAACATCTGTAACCTACAATGTAATTGCTGCTCATAAGCTTTAATGTTAAACATTGCTTTTATTTCTCTACAAAATGCTTAAAAAAACCTCTCTGCTCACTTGTTAATCATTTTATAAAGACAAATCGTATGTCCTTCATTTGCTCCACAGAGAATTTACCGCCTCTCACCATAACCATCTTTATCTTGCTTGGCATAAGTTTGAGCCAGCTGGCTTTCATCCATATTCTTATCTCGCCCAGGTACTTTCACATCTGAATGATATTATAGCCATCTGTGCTAAGAAAGTGGCATACAGCTAAGTGACATTGGAGTCTGTGTTGTCTTACAGCCTTTTGAAAAGGTCTTGTATAAACTGAAAAGAAAGTAAATAAGGCTCATTCTTGTGAGAATCAACTTACAAAGCCTCTTTGGAAAAAAAGAAGTTATTCATCACACCCGGTATCTTTCTGAGACAGTCGTACAGTATTGTTTCTGCCATTGCTACTTCAGCAGCTGTACCAGCATGCTGGAATGTGCCAGTTGCTGCGGAGTTCGGTTTGTGGATTTGTTCTGAAATTACTAACCGAAACTGGAAGTTAATAAGGCTATTAGAACATTTGAAAAATCAAAGACTTGCAGTAAGAAAGCTCATATTAATTCAGAGTATAATATGCTTTTGCTCTCAGAATGTGTTAATACAAGTGGACTATCACTCATGAGTTTAAGTTACTTTTAACTGAACCTCTCTGATCCAGAGCACTGAACCTTTTTTGATCCAGATCCATGTACTGCTCTTTGGGATAGAGAAATTGAGGTACAGGCAGGAAAAGATTTTGCCATTGTGCCACAAGCTGATAATGTGGTCAAAACAGTTGTCTGTTCTATTTTTCTTTTTACCTGTATTTATATTACAGTTAGTGTAAAAGTAAAGAGAAGTGAGACATGTTTTTATTCTTTTATTTTATTCTTTTATCTAAAAGATTTTAAAATATTTTAGATCAAAATAGGGTCCCATGTTTGATTATATGGAAGGAAATAGATGTGGAAAATTTTCACTTATGTAAAGTACAGCATTTATTTTATTCAGAAGAATAAGCAATAGTTTTAAAGAGATAAAGCCTTTGTTTTTACCCTTACCCTTTAAGTTACCTAAGTTACATAATGGTATTATGTGCAGAAGGAGCACAGGAATAGTTGGTAGTTGCCTGCCGTTTTGTGGAGAAGCATAGTGAGTTGAGTTTCTGGAGTGGGTGGTTGTTTTTTTTTTTTTTTTTCATTTAGTGCGGCTAACCGAATGGGAATTGTGAAAAGACTTACAGATTGTATTTTTTTTTACTGGTTCTCTAGTTATGGGTGAATGCAAGCTAAGTCTAAGGTTGTGAAATGTTTTTACAAGATGAAAGGCTATAATTTAACATTTGATATCTTTTCAGTGTACTTGAGGGAAATTGCTTGAATGTACTTAGGGATTTAATTGTTTAAAAAACATAGGAAATCGAGGTATCTGCATTTCAGTGTATTGTGTCCTGTAGTGGAGGATAACAATATTAAAAGACAAATAGTGATTACTTTTCTGAATTAATTAGCTCACTTCAAGAGCTGAGTTGTCTTAATACAAGGACATGAAATATCTCTCTGTGTATATATACAGTATGTCATCTTATTTCTCCCCAGAGAAAAATATAAGAATAAAGAGGAAGCTAGAGTACGTGAAATATAATCTTGAAAATCCTAAACTGATTATACTAAACTACAGAAGAGTCTCTCTCCTATTTCTTCAGTTCTTGGGTGATGAAAGGAAAGGATTTGTGTTGTTACTGCCTCACGTTTTTCCTTCTTTATTCCCTTAGCTGTTGATACGTGCACGCTCTTAGTAGATAGGGCATTTTTATAAAAATTTTTTACAAACCAATATGTAAATTTGAAAGTAGTGTAGTCTACATCAGGGAATGTAGATATGAAATGATTTTTTGAATCAGTGCTCTATACAGCCTTGCTGCTGCCCAGACTTCAGCAGGGTTCAGAGCAACAGCTGATTCTGCACTGAGGCTGTGGTAGGTCTGAGACTTAGCTACGTCAAAAAACTCCAGCTGTTACTGCTGCACAGTGTTAGCAAAGACATTCACTGCACAATAGATGATGAAGAAAATATCGTATTTTGTTTGCACATTGACAAAAGATTTTCATTTATGAATAGTCATAATACCACAGATTTGTAGTTTATCTTTAGCATGTGTCATTTTAAGATCTCATTCTCAACGTTGGTACTGCTGCATCATTTGCTGTTAGCTACTGATCTGCTCTAAATCTTTCAATTGCTGTAGATATTTTAGTAAACAAACTCTAAAATACTTCTGAAGAATGCCAAACGTTAATTTAAAAAAATACTGTCTTTCACACAAATCTATTTAGGCTGCAGTCCTATTTTTATAGTTAACAACAATCTAGGCATTCAAACAGTGTTTTTCTCTATGCATTTCCAAGTCACAAGATCTTGTCTCTGTAAGAAAAATGGGAGCTTGGACAGAAAGGCCTCCCTAGGCAAGTGCAGCAAAGAGACCGAGTATATTCCTTTTTGAATTTTAAATGATAGCAGGTATACATTAATGTCAGAAGGACATGGCCATAGTGGAATAGTGCGTATTATTAAAGCCTTATTTTACTGAACGATCTTTCTCACTGTTCAGTATATCAAGAATGTCTTTATAAAAGAGAAAATCAATGTACATACATCCACAGTTAAATGTGATGAGTATTTAGTAAACAAGTTGAATGTTGCACCATCACTGTATACTGATCATAGTTATTCCTGTTTATTTGCACATCCTGCTATTTAATGTATGAATCATCAAAGTTAATTGTTTTTACTGTTCTAATTATTTGACTTACAAATTGATATTTATTACTGGAAAAGTACTACTACATGTTCAAAGATTCCTGTCTGAAGCAGAGACCACTTACTCCATAAATAAAGAACATTCTTAGAAAAATTAATCAAAATAATATTACTTGAGAGAAACTTTTTACAAGCCTGTTGTTTAAATTTTATTGCCAAAAAATATTTAAAACTGTAGTCTTCCGCTACTTACAGAAGAGAATTAAATAAAGTACACCTGGTTGATATGAGTGTTTTTGGAACACAGTCCCATACTTAATCATTTTGAAATATTAAGCAAGAATACATAAGATAACCTCTTTTAATTTTGGGGAAGTTGCACAGAAATAGTAGAAAGGAAAGGAGATTGTGCACAAAGGGAGTTATTTTTCTGGTTTAACTCAGTCATGTTTTGGTTTTTTTTTCGCCCAAGCACTTCTGATTTCTTTTCTCATGCTTCCCTCCCCATCACTGTTTCCACTACGTGTTATATTGTTGCTTTAGGGGTTTTATACTAAATGCAGCTAACTACCTAATGCTATTTTGTGTGAAAATTGTGTGTCTGAATTCAGTTAACAGCCTTTAATACTAAAATCTTTAACACAGCAAACATAAAATGTGCAAACACTTTTAATGTCTGTTGTCCTAGTAAGCATTCTTGGATGATACTTCTATAACCAATCCAATCATGGTCTTTCATTTTTTTTCTAATATTTAAGCGTGTTGATGATATTACAAGTTCACTATCAGATACTACACTGCTTGTACACTTTTTTGGCAAGAAGGGAAAAGCTGAACTGAACTTTGAAGATTTTTATAGGTGAGTCTCAATTTTATAAATTCCATGTAAAGAAATACTTCCATACTTCTAATTAATAAATGTATTAATATCACAAGACACAGTGTATATGTGCATGTATATAATGTATATAGTATGTAAAGTTTATTTTCCCTTTTTTGGTGTTACACGTTCAAAGAATAAAATAAAACAGTAAAAAGTGCCCGGCCCTAGTGCTTCTGTATTTGCTGGGGGGGGGAGGGGTTGACACTTTTGGTTTGGTTTGGTTTGGAGGGGTTACACACTAACTATCCTTATTTGTATGTAGGGTTTTTTTTCTTGTTTTTGTTTTTTTTTTTTTTGGGAAAAAAGTAGTAAAGCTCCTGCAGTGAGCTGCAAGATGCATATCTAAAAGTAAAGATTTTTCTAAAGATAACGTGTAGGCCCCTTGGAAAGATCATCTTATGGGCATAAGTGAAAACACAGCTGAAGCTATTGGCCTAATTATTATGCCAATTAAAATATAATTTTGAAATATAAACTATTTTTAAGAGTAGTCTTCCATTAAAAATAGAGCCACTAAACTAAAATTGTATGTTATGTGTGATTGAAAGAGATGCAGTATTTGGCTATTATTTCCACAGTAGTACTACCAGTACCTATTATTTTTAGTTATCACTTATCTAACTGTGCATTTTCATTGATCAAATGTTTAGAAGATATTTTGCCTTTAAAGTCAAGTAAGTCATAAAGAGGGTAAAGAAAGAATGAGTGTTCCATATGTCACATAATATAAAAACAAGAGTCACCAAGTGAGGTCATGAGGTGGCAAGTGCAAAACAATAAGAGGAAAATAAGGTATTTTTTCCCAAAGCATCTAGTTAAAATATGGAACTCAGCACCATAAGATGTGGATGCTGAAGATGTCATGGATGTTGAAGCAGTCCAACACGTAGGGAGACATATTCATGAAAGAAGAATCCATCAAGTATTATACAACACTACATTCCCGGCTGAAGAAATCATTTAACAATGTATTGCCCGGGGAAATACTCTTGTGTTTACCTTGTACTTAGGCTTTTGCCTAGGCATCCATTATCGGCCACTGGAAGGATAGGATATCCAGCAAGACAGACCTTTGATTTGGGCTGCTCATAGTTTTTATAAGTCAGATTATGTACTAGGAAGGAGTGTTACAGGCAATGTCTGCAGGATGGGATCTTGGCAACCTGTAATAAGGGAGTGTTACAAATCATGATGGATAATCAACTGAACGTAAACTCCCAAGTGCAATGCTATGAGCAGAGATCTACTTTCATCCTTGGATATATAATTTGGACATCACATAGAATCGTATTTTTACATATAGTTGATAAGTAGCTATTTTTATACTGTATACAGTTTTGGTGTCCCAATTTTACAAAATATGTTGTTAAGTAGGAAAGCATTCATAGGGATGTTGTAAGAATTTTTTTTAAAAAAGGCTTAGACTGAAAGGCTGCAAGAACTCAAAATACTTAGCTTGTTAAAAAGAGAAAGGTAAGGCTTGACCACAATCTGTAAGGAGCTACATGGGGAATAAATTTTGGGAATTGCCTTAATAGCAGGAATTTGCAGTCTAGCCTATAAATATAAAGATCAGTGACCCACTGAAGAAAATTAGGCACGTACAAACTGGAAATAAATTACAAATTAGTCATTTTAATCCTTACTAAAATACTTCATCTTTGAGTTAAGATTGCTAGATTAATTAGACTGTATGTCAACATGGAAAGGAGATTTACCAGGTTCACAGTCAGGGAACTACAAACAGGGAACTAATTGGTACAATGTTATTTGGCTTTATATTCTGTGAGTTTTAATGACAAGAATAGCAGAAATGAAAAGTATTGTTTCTTTGTATTTCTGCTTATGCTTTAGATTTATGGATAACCTACAAACTGAAGTTCTAGAGATAGAATTCCTTTCCTACTCTAACGGGATGAACACCATCAGTGAGGAAGACTTTGCCCATATTCTTTTGAGATATACAAACGTGGAAAATACGTCAAGTTACCTGGAAAACATGCGCTGCAGGATTCCTGAAGAAAAGGTAGTTCTTTAGCTAGTACAGCCAAGGGTGGCAGCATCAAATCCCAGTGTCTTCAAGGTGAAATCATGGCCTTGATGGAGTGAATGAGACTTCTGTCACTGACTTCGTTCTCACCAGGATTTTATCCTGATCATAAGCCTCGTATCTTCTATTTTTCAGATTACTTACTGAATAGAAGGTAGAAGAGTGGATAACATAGAATTATGTTTCGTAGGATTTAGTAATATTTTTGAGGTTTAGATAACAAAGCTCCATAGTACATTAAAACTCAGTTTAAGCAACAGAAAATATAAGAGTTGAAAGAGAAAAACTTTCCAGAAGTGAGACTTATCTAACAATAAGGATTTTTGCAACAATGATGCATTAGAAAATATTTTTTTTCCAACTTCTCTTTTGCATTGCTACCCGATTAACAGCTGTTCGGAAAAAATATAGACACCTTTTATCTAGTTCTAGTGTAGTCTCAATAATGGATCATTTGTACATAGTTATTGATGAGTTAGAGGTTCTTATCAACAGCTGAAGAGATAGGAAAAAATAGTAACAACAGTAAAGATCGTCCTTCATTTGTTTAACAACAAATATGTTGTCAGAAGTGTATCTGAGGAAAAATGTAGTGGCAGCTGAATGCATCAGTGGTAATCAGTAGGATAATGTTACAAGTAGCCCTTCAAGCAGGGGATGTTTTGGGTATGTTTCCTCTATTTGTGTTTATAGAAGGATCAGACTAGTGTGTCCTAGAAATGTGACTCTTTAACTGGCTATATATTTCGGTAGCATTAACAGTAGAGCTGGTGAAGCAAAGCAATAAATATGTTTGGATAGTTGTGACATTTTTAATTTGGGAAATTACATTGTAATTAAAACCAGTGGGATACTGTAAAATAGAAAATGATAATAAAACCAAATATTATTATAAAGCTAGAATTATAAAGTACATCTGTAAGCACAAATGGGTGTTCAAAGTGAATGTCACTGACGTGGAATTGCTGTATCACATAAAGTTACCGCAGAATAACTTGTCATGACTCCTACTCAGTTCCTCCTGCCTTTTCTCTCCTTTTCTAGTATTGGAGAGTGCAGCAGGACAGGGATCAGCCAGACAGAGCATCTGTGTAAATACAGGGGGCAGAAAAGGACAAGCCTTTTTGACATGATGACCAAGTAACCTATTCTCTTCCAGAAAAAAATCTTCCAGAGACAGAATTATAACTCTAAAACATAATACTCTGGGATCTTCAAGCTTCTACAGCCATGTCCAGTGGTTTAAGGGGTCACGTTACCTCTAAACTGGCTATTGACTATCTAAAGGGAATGATCCTATCTTCTTTTCTCTTTTCCCTAGCCTTGTATTTCTACCACTTATTTTGCATTTATGTGTACCGACTTTGCAGCTTACAGAGTAAGTAAGATTAGTGAGCTGACCTGGTAGAAGCACGCTCCAAAAATTAGCAGTTTTCCATTGGAATGTCTGGTTTATCTGATTCATCCTGAGCTTGTACAGTAATTAGATCCAATGCAAGCAGTGCGATACAAAAATAGCTGGGGAGGAAAAAGGAAAAGGAGGGTTGCCTCTTTCACACCGGATTAAATGTAAAATGAAGCAAGATGGTTGGAATCGGGAGTTCCTACTCTCTCACCACTTCTGAGTTTACAGTCTAGCCATTCAGCTAGCTCAGTTCAAACTATTATATAAAAGGTCTGTGCAGCTTTTAATATTTAATAGCCAAGACAATGCTACAGACATGGTATAAAGTTATTTTCTTAGGTTGCCAGATACTTTTTGTTTAAGGTGAAATCAAGATTAACATATGTATGAAACGTTTGAGAAAGAAATTGCTTTGGGGCTTGCATAATGACAATGATATACTTATCAGTTATGTAATAAGAAATAATGGCAGTCATAGAAAAAGAAATATATGTTTGAGTGGCAAAGGTGAAGTTGATTAGGTAAATACGAATGCAGATGAATTTTTTTTTTTTTTTAAACACACAAAGTGTTCTTTGAAGTTTCAGTACTGCTATTCTGATTTAAAAAAAAAAAAAAAACTTCCCTGTGGAGTGCTGCATCAACATGCTTATGTTATATTCTGGGAATGTCCAGTCACTTTACCATTACCATATATCTGTATGTCATATGCTATATCTCCATTAAGTGAAACAGGACATTGCCATACATATCACTGATATGGTAAATGCGCAGTCACTACAGTGGAAAAAATAAATCCCTGTGGCATACCTCTCTTGCTGGCAGTAGGCTTTTGAGAGTGGGATTTTATTTCCTGTTATCATGGAGACATCATTGATATTTTTACCCTTTTTTACATTCCTAATTAGCAGTACAATTCCAAAATTATAAAATGTACTCTATATTTCATTATAGTGATATGCTGTATAACCAATATAAAATAGAGGATTTCATTCAGAGAGGAGTGGGGCTAGCCTGTAAAGTAAGACTTTCACAGTTGGCAGTGTTACTGTTCTTGTGGCACTGTATGTAGAAGCCTGTAAAGCAATGTGATGATCATTTGGCAGACTGTAGTCATGTTGAAATGTTCAGCTGGCATGCTGCCTGCTCACAGGATGTTCTCCTCCTTTTACTAACTAGATGCCAAGCAGTGATTCATTTAAGCTGGCATCTTGAGTTACTGCAAATATCAGCCCCTAAAGAAAGTTTATGCTTTTTTGACAGCATTGGTGTATTAATATGACAGTTTTCTTTGCTGTGGTAAAATATAATCTGTCCAAAGAAATAACAAAAAGTTCAGTTTCCTTTTACATAGAAAATAAATAATTTCCAGTAGGAAAATGGGAAACAATGTAAATAATTTCATATTTCAAAAATATGCAAAATGTATGCAAAATAAGGAATGTTATTACAGTTGCCAGTTGAACAAAAAGTGGTCCTAGGAAAGGACCTTTCTTTCTGCCTCTCTTCTGTCCTTTTCTGTTTCCTCTTGAAAGGAATTAAACATCGAGGATTACAGATGATTTCAGTGGAAGTGGTAGAACACTTAGTTGATAATTTTTCTCATTGCTAAAATGTTGTGGAGTCCATACGATTTAGCCTGGAAGTTTAGCACTAGAAAGTAGCGCTTCTTCACCTTTATTTCTCTGCTTTATCTCCGGTATCTCATGGCAGCAGTTTTCATAGCTACTAGAAGTACAGAAGCTGCAAAAAGAACTTTTTGTATACCAGTGATTCTCAGCCTTTCCTGTGCAAGGACAGCTTTCCACCTAGACTAATTGTTTCCCCTGTAGTTACATGGAGAGAGCCAAGATTTTTGTACCACCTCTCATGATATTTCCCACATTCCAAATCTTTACAGACAAACTGGTTCAAATTAAGGATTTTTTTTTAATCATTGTGAACTTAAAACTATCACCTTAAGGCATCTGTGGCTAGTTTCTATTAGGTTTTGCCATAGTACCTAAGAGTCCGATTTGGGGACTAGGGCTTCACCAAGAAAAGTATTTCACAAACATAGGCCAAAATTATTCCAGTCTCAAAGAGTCTGCAGTCTGTAAACAAAGTGCAAGAAATGGAACATGGACATAAACCAAGTACAGAGAAGCAGTAAAACAGATTGCCTAGTATTAGCAATTAAGAATTTAAAGGAGAATAAAGAAGTTGTTTCTGCTGGTTATCCATGAGGATTCCTCCCAGTTTCAAAAGACGAAACAAAGACCTATAAAGATGATTGTTGAGAAATTAAATTCATGATGGAGACTGGTCACGCCCTCCAATCAAACAGAGTTTACAAATCTTAGATAGAGCTTAGGTTTGACCAATTTAGCAGTGACTTGAGATCTCAAATGAGTGGAGGCCTATTAAAGACTTCTTTTAACAACGTTATGCTGCCCTCCACACTTACCACAATACTCTCCTGTCTCATATTACTTTAGTCCATACCCCAGCCATTTCCTCCTCTGCCACACACCTACTTCAGTATCTTCAGGTTCTCCTGAAGTGCTTTGTGTTCCACCATATCCTAAGGACTATGTATCTTTGAGGATAAAAGTAGGTCAAGTTCTTAGTTTCAACAGAAACTCACAGATCTTCCGTCTTTCTGTCTTCAGATTTATTTTCAGAGAAAAGTAGTTAAGTTAGTTTAATTAGTTGGGTAATTTAAGTGTGGAAGGCAGGACCCCAGCAGTGATTCAAGGGTAATATATTGTCGTTGGAACCTTCTGATACTGTTTGGAAGCACCAGAATTTAGCAAGTGCTTGCCTAAAAGTGAGACTACTTATTTAGGTACCATCGTATATAGGTCAAAGGAACCAAAGGCAGAACCTTGAAATACTCCCCACGACACTGGAAATGGGATCCTCTGAAGGACATGTGGAAGGTTATAAGTAAACAGAGAGTAGCCAGGAATTACAGTTAAGGAGGACCAAGGAGATTAAGATTCAAGACGAACATCCCTTTGAAGAGGATAGTGGGCATTTTAAGGGGGACATTTAATTAAAAGTGTCTGTTTAAGATTTCTTTCAGAATTGTTCTAGAGATAATTTATCAGGTCTTTGAACTCATAGTTAAGGCAGGAGAAAAGCAGAACAAGTATCACATAAGGAAAAAAATTGGGTTCTTTTAGCAACTTAACACAGAAACTTTTAAAAATTCTGAATTCTTGGTCAAAATATAAAACATTTCTTAAATAGCTGGACAAGCCTTGCAATATAATATAACACTTCGGGTACCAGTTGAAGACGTAGATGTTTTTAGTTGTGGATATATAAAAACTTCACCTTAAAGTACAGAGCTTAAATTAGATCCCAACATGTATATATTAATTCAGTCAACATATTTATGTGTGCATATGCCCATATGCTCTTATATATGTAAAATAGTAGTTTGTTGTTTTGAGCAATAAAACATATTCCAAAATTTATATGAACCCAGGCTCTTATTCTAAATATTACTACTATATCTTAATAATCTTCTGGGAATTTTTAAGATTGTATTAAGCAATAGAATAATGTTTTTGATTATATTTTGAGTGAGAGTTGCCATCTATTGCAGTGGCAAATATAAAAAAGAAAGATATCTTGCATTTCTCAGGAAACTCCAGTTCTTTACCTTATTGACTTCAGTACAAATTTCCAATTACGATGGATGTAGTGTCTATTCTTAAATGAAGCTGACGTATACAACTACAAAGTTTAGTTATTATCTTGTCACTTCTGTTGTTAATTATAATGATACTAATATACATATTGTTATTTTATTCATTAGGGTATCACATTTGATGAGTTCAGGTCATTTTTCCAGTTTTTGAACAACCTAGAAGACTTTACAATTGCAATGCAAATGTATAATTTTGCAAGTCGTTCCATAGGTCAAGGTAAGGATTTATAAAAAGGCAGATAATTAGTAAATTTGTTAACAAAGATACAAAACAAATCATTTTGTAATTCTCAGATTGTAGTTTTGATCTATGTTTTCAACGTAACCATCACTAAAATAATAAAATGTGTATCACTAGACTGTAATTTGCTTTTGAAAATTGTTTCTTCAGTTCCTCCTTGTCTCAGATGAAAGTCTAAAATGGCAAGGACTCTTCAGCTTTGAGAGGAGAAGTCTCAGTCATATCGTAAGGGATACGATAAAGCTTTATAAGGTTGTATAAGTGGTGGATAAGCTGAATGCGGAACTGTTGGTCACCAAATCCTGCAATACAAGAATTAAGAGGCACTTGATGACCCTAGTAAGAGATTGGTTTAAAGCAAACAAAAGCATTTCTTTACACAGTGGGTAGTGAATCTCTGGAACTTGCTGCTACGAAGTTGTAGAGGGAAATAGCATCAAAAGGTTAAAAAAGGCAATAGACCTTTTTAACAAGTCAGTTAGTGGCCATTAAAAGGCCTAGGCGAGTATGTACTCTCTGAAATCCCTAATGCAACAGTTGTAGATGCTTGTGGAGTGCAAGACGAAGGACCATGTGAAGTGGGCAGACTTGTGTGCTCTCCTCAAGGTAGCATCCCTGTTGGTCTGACATGGTAGACTCTTCACGTGGCCTTGCCTTAGGAGTATGCTGTTTTCTCTGTGCTCTATTTCTTTGTTTCTATTTCTTGTCAATTAAGGAGAAGCCATCGGTATAAATGTGACATAGGCGTTAATTATGATTTTCTAATTTTATTATTATATATAATGTAGTTCCTATGCTGTTATCGTTTATGCAGAATAATTGATATCAATTAAGCTGTATCATTTTATACCAGTTAACAGCTACTTGGTTTAGATCTGTGAAATTCAGTCCTAATTTTCACATTTTCTTATTTTTTGAGTGTTTAAATGTGCAAACTTAAGTAAAAAGTTTATTTGCATTTTATAATATGTTATCCAACAGGAGAGTTGAAATTCATGTGTTCTGTTTTTTCTTCTGATATTGTCTTTATGTAGATGAATTCAAGCGTGCTGTGTATGTAGCCACAGGGTTGAAGCTTTCACCACATTTGGTGAACACAGTGTTCAAGATTTTTGATGTCGACAGAGATGACCAGTTGAGTTACAAAGAATTTATCGGCATTATGAAAGATAGACTTAATCGAGGGTTCAGGGTAAGGATGCTGATGTTTACAGTTATCTTAATTAACTTTGCTATTAAAATCACTAGTAACATCAATTTAAATATCTATGTTTTATAGAAAACCTGAAGCAGTCTAAAAGATTAATCCCTTCTTTATTTCTATAATTTTTTTGTATTAGAAGACAATACACAGAAGGCATAAGGTACCTTTATAGTTCACAAATGAAACTGGATATCAGAAATCCTCTGCATACTGCTATTTCTTCTACATGGTGTGATTGACTGGTTGGTACTAAGAGTTTTAACAAGGATAACAATTATGTCTGGGATATTTTCAGGGAAAAGAGTCTCTCTCTCTCTCTCTTTTTCTCTCTCTCTCTCTCTCTCTCTCTCTCTCTCTCTCTCTCTCTCTCTCTCTCTCTCTCTCTCTCTCTCTCTCTCTCTCTCTCTCTCTCTCTCTCTCTCTCTCTCTCTCTCTCTCTCTTTTCCTCTCTTGTCCTCTAACCTGGGCAGTTTAGTTAAAGGTCAACCATCAGCTCTTCTAAAACATTATTTAAAATAGCAGGTATTGATAATGAATGTTGGAAAGAGTTGCAGCAGAAGGTAACTTTATCTTTCAAATAAAGAATTAGTGAAGTTCTGCTAAACAAGACCATATTCCGGTTTAAAGTTGGCTTTGATAATTTAGCCCTGTATCTAGCATATTAAATTACAAGAAGCTGGAGGACAGAAAATTACTTGCAGAAATTTTCATAGGGAACAAGCATATTAACTGTGCGTAGAATATTACCTTTTAGGTGAAGGTGTAGACCCTGCTGCCCTCTTCAGGTTCTTTGTAGTATAGAAAAATGTTATAGTAGCACAGAAAAATTTAATAGTAGCAAATTTTTATTTTTTAACTGTGGAAAGTAGATTGTAGAAATAAAGAAGAATATGTTTGTGAACTTCACTACTGACTGGTGTTAATTGATTCACTGTTTTTCTAAGCTAGTTATTGATTCAGAATATGAGAGCGTATAAAGCTGACTTTAGGTTTTATTTTTAACAGTAGTTTAAAAAATAGTATTTTTAGAGTATGATCAATTAAAGTCACATTTTTTCTTCACATGACAAGTGTTGACATTTTTAACTAAATGTAAAATGTTCTTACATTGACAACCTAATACCTTAAACATAAATTTTGAACTTTAACCTTTCTGTAATAAGTGTATAAATAGTTCTCAAAGTCACTTTCAGTGACTTTAGTTATTTCTGTAATGTAATTGTGCTCATTTTAATTAGCTTTCTAAATATAATTTACTAAAATAATGTTAAGATTTTCTGTGAAGTGGTGTTGAGTCTAATAGGCTACTTGTTATCTTTGTAATATTTTGATCTAGTGTAAAAATCGTGGATAACAACCACTGTATTTGTAACAGACTTATTTCCTTGTTGGTCTTCAAATTTTTTTGTATGCTGTGGAAATTATGATTGTTTCATAACCATCTCAAGATGTTCAGCTATATGTTTTAATTGTTTACTAATTGTAAGTGTGCAATGTATGTTAATTTAACCAGAACATAGTCTGCTTACTAAGCAATTCTTGTAAATATGTATTACATGTTTCGATTTCACAAAATGCATGATAGAAATCACATCTAATCCTTAAGAATCTATATCATCCAGCACTATTTAGCCTTATGCATGTATCTCTCTTCTGCTTTGGCCACTATCCTAATGCACTCTATTAAGAGACTAAGAACTACAAAGAATAGATTAGGGTGTTTGTAAGAATAGCAGCTTTTTTCACAAATGTTATGTCTAATTTTAATGAGAGCACTTCTGGAGCATGTGAGATGATCGTGATTTAGTCCTATAATTCAGTGACCAAAAATACCTTTTTTTTTCTTTTTTCAGACATGCCTACATCCAGACTTGTTATATTATTCTTAAAAAATATATTTTTTTACTAAGGGAGGAGTATTGTAAGACAATTACAGTATCAAACTTCCTTATTAATTATCGTGTCCAGTAAGTTTTCGTAAGCGTTGCACAAACCTGATTTCTCCAGGATTAGGTAGTGGTCTGTGTAACAAAAATTCTGCAAAAAATCTCCTTTGTAGTTTAATATCTCCCTATATCATGTTTGAGAACAAAAAGGAGAAAACATATAATATGTAAGAATTTGCTACCCAGAACTATTTAGGAGAAAATTTCATTAATGATGGAAACTGCAAAAAATTGTAGACTTTGATCTCCATTGAGAGTACAAATTGTTTCCAATAAATCTGAACTTTAGAAGTTATTCAGAATTTAATGTGCTCAGATCAAGTAAAAATCTACCCTTTCGCTGCTACACTATGGTGGATTCAAACATTGTCTTGTAGTAAATTAAAACTAACATTTTACTAATCTTTTCTTTGTTAATAAATATGTATTGAATTCATATTAAGATTTCGTCAGTTCCGTTATACCAATAGAAGGTTATAGTTTCTGCTCATGCAGTATTTCGTGGTCCACATGTAAGTTTTTGTCTTGCCAAATTTTAACCTGTTCATGAAGTGTAAATGCCTGATTCTAAGGCAAAATATCTTTCGGTTGATATCTACCAAAGTCAATGCAGTCCTTGATTATCAATCTAAAAACATCTAAACAGAACAGTTTAGAACAGACCTATAACTTGAAGTATGAGTTTGCAATTAACACCTTATACTTTAGTAATTCAATTTTTATAGAAGTTGTTGTACTAAAATGTTTGCCAAGAAGGATCTTGGGGTTATTATATGCCTTGCTACTAGGACCATGTATTTTAGAAAAGGATTTTATGTAGTCATATAGTCTGACTAAAGCAAGAGTTAAACAATCTGATGAAAGAGAAATTCTGAAAGGTCAGTACATGCCAGCTTCATCCCATTTAAAAGCTTAGCTATAAATGTATAGAGTGGAGGATGGTCAGGTCCTGCCCATTATAGGGATTTAATAAATATTCATTTTAACAGATATTTCAGGTTTGTTTTTGAAAAATCAAAGGTCTTAAAGAGTTTATCAAATGATATTTCTCTCCTTCTGGAATCGCAGTATCATGATCTGAAAACTTCTTTTCTAGTATTTTGAAATGAACTGGTATATTGAGCTGCCATCAAGTGGCCAGTCAGAGTATTGCCATAATCTTATTAAGACATGCAGACGTGAAAAGCTTTTTTGCTTGCTGTTTGAGTTAAAATAGCTATTTCCATTTTTTTAATTTAAAATATAACGAAGTAGATTCCCTTTCCTTTATAAATTCCATTTTTAAACTGAAAGCTTTGGAACTTAATGACTAAATGATAAACATTTTACCTAGCACATACTATACTGTATCTACTAGCTATTTGTCTCTTAAACCCATTTTTTTGTATTTTCATGATACTGTTGTCTTTTGCTTACCTCTGGCTGCCTTCACATGTTGTCTGCATCTGCGCACTTCTCCGTCTTCTGCTCCCCAGGGCTACAAACCTATACAGAGGTATACTACTTTCAAATCCTGCGTGAGGAAGGAACTCTATAGCAGATAAATTACGGTATGTGTTAGCTGCTCAGTCTGAGTGTGCTGGCATGCTTGCAGGAATGGCTGAATGTTAAACCATCATTGCTTTGTTTCCCATTTCCAAATTCAGGAAGAGATTATCTGATTGTAACCAATGTAGCCGCTCAAAATGTCATGTTGTGTTTTTGACTGAAGCAATAGGATTTTATTCTGGAGTTGGCAGTAACTAACTCATGCTGTCACTGTTTTGCAAGCCAGTTGCTATTTTGTATTATGTTTGGAACAGGGAAAAGTATTATTTCATAGTTTATGTTGCTGTTTTCTGTCTGTCTGTTCTGTGACCACTTTTCAATAGTACGTTATCTATGGCTAATAATATTTGCAATCAATCAAGATTGCAAAGGCAGATTTTTCTCCCTAAGAGCCACTTAGTAACTTGATTCTACTTTGACTTACATAGTCACACTTTTAAAAACCATAATGTGTTTTTGTCACCATTAATGCTACACCAGAAATTCTCAGGAATAGGTTCTGTGGCCTCACATGACCGCCATGGGCGTTCTTATGTAGCTACCACGTGAATATTCATTCTTAGAATTAAACTGTCTTTTGAAAACTGCAGTGTGAATATTCTGTAGCCAGCTGTGAAACTATTTGTCACACTTTGGCCAGAGCAGAAAAATGTCAGTAAACCTTTAGACCATAAACTCTCCTCTAATGTAAAGCAAGAGTTTACTTCTTTGCAATTTAGTGCTTTAGTGCTGGCACTTTTTTCCTGTTTATTTTTATAGACTGTTTACTTTTATAGACTTCTGGAGTAATTACTCCAGAAATTGCTAACAGCTACTATAGGTCCCATATTGCTCACCTTTTAGCAGGAAGGAACAAGGGGATGTCTGTCATGACAAACTGGCCCTGTAGCAGCTCTGATCTGTGCGAGGAGACCCAGTGTATTAGTCTTATGTGCTGCCAAGCTGTTAGGGTTTGGTCACAGTTTCCCCACTGTTTTTTTTTTAGCTCTATAACTCTGTGGCACAATATCAAGCTCAGATCCTGTGTCTAATAACCATCTCTGGATGCCTCCATACATCCTAAAATCGGCACCTGACTTTCTGAATCCTCCCCGTTCCTTGCAGACACCTCTCTGAGGACTTGCAGGCCAGTGAGTTTTTGGGGGCTCTAACTGAGATGCTTCCCTAGCTCTGAAACAGCATGGCAGGGAAGCAGGGAACACAAAGTAGAATTTTGGGGGGGTCCTGTTTATCTGAGGTGATGTCTGGCTTCCAGCACAGTAGAAAAATCTAAGTCATTAAGGATGAGAGGTGGGGCCCATTTCCTCAGACCCCACCATCACTCAGCCTGGTAGCTCACCAGCCCCGCCAATGGCTTTCTTTTGCAGACCCCTGTGCAAGAGAGGGAAGGGAGAGGGAACATCTCTCAACTACTGGCTCACTCCCATAGCAGAGCATGTTATTTATCCCAACCCACGCTTTTTGGGACTCTTCATGTCATTTTTTTTCAACAAAGCATCACATCATCTTGACCAAGCTGGTTCTCCGAGATGCAGTATAAAAGGATTGTTTGGGGAATGTCCAAGACTGTGCAGCTGGAGCATCTATTATTTTCCCTTGTGGAAAGAAGACAAGAGTTCTGTTTGATCTGCATACACTCTCTTGTGTTACATATAAAACTTAGCATCAGTAGGACTTTTTCTTTATTATTTTAGGTTTACTATTAGCTAAACATTAATCCCATTTCTTAAGTTATACTTCCTCTTTATGAGTATGTACTGAAGCATTGCATTAGTGTGTGAGAACCAGAAAGGAAAATTTTATCTTTACAAACAAAGCATCTAGTTTCTTTGCCTGACTAACTAAAATGTAAGTAACTAATGGAATAGTTAGAACAACGTTTTAGTAATCCAACATGCCAGTCACATAAGAGGAAATTCATTGTTTAAGATTAATTTTATGTAGCTTCATCTCTCTGAAACTCAGGCTTTTGACTCTTTCCTGCTTCTTTCCCAATGTCTTTTTAAAAACATTCTTTTAGGTGTACTCTCTCTTCTTTGTCCCCACTAATTCTGTCACAGCCTACAGTATTGCTACATGCTAAGTATTGTATAAACTGTAAACTCCTCAAGAGATAGGGAACAGCTCTCATAAGAAACTGGGAAAATGGTGTACAGTCATGATGCTTTCCTAATAATTTCAGTAGAGAATATGTGACCAACTAGAACAAAACGCAGTGACATAAAAGAATCTAATATCTAATCACCAAGCCTATTAAAATTAGGTTGGTGACAAAAAGAGACTGTGGTAACAGCATCAAGTTTAAGTGTCTAGAGATCTTGACAGATGTTTGAATTCAGGCCATAAGTTCGTTCGTTCATTCGTTGAGATGGAATAACGTGAAAAAGCCACTACAGGGGAGATTTATAAAGGGAGATTTTATTAATTTTATATAAAGTCACTCTCAAGAAAATTCTTTAAGGATGAGTAACGGTATGTCTATGTTACACGCTGTGGGACAGTACAAAGAAACCAGATTAGTTCTCAGTGCACTAACTTATAAGGAGCCTCAGTGGAGAAGTATAGAGTTTGATGCTGGTTAATTTAACCTGCTCCTCTACCCACAGGGAGCTCCCAGATGCTATGATTAAGACTGCTTCTGGTACCTAAGCTTGCTTAGGTAGGGCTGTATCAGATATCTGTTCCCTGTGCGCTGAAGAATGCAGTGTAAACCTCGTGTATGAAATCCCCTCTTCCCTAGTGGCATATTAGTCAGCTACTGCTCTTCACTTGAGCATGTGTCACTTCTCCATGTTTCTTGTAATAAGTTACACTGACATATCCCGTTGTTAGCCATTCTGAGTTCCTTTTTAATAAGATGTTATATCATTTACAAGGTCTATTTAAATCTGTTGTAAATATTTCTTAAAGTTTGTTGTAAATGTCAGTTAATGGAAATTGAAACTTTAGCCAAAACATACCTGAAGTGTTTTGGAGTTAGTTACTGTGGAGGAGAACAGAACTAATTCTGTCTTCGCCATGTAGTGAGGAATGAAAGTGAATTTGCATAATTATAAAAATAAATATTTTGTAGTTTAGTTTTTAAATGGAAAAGAGCTTAAGGGCAGAGTTATTAGAGAGTTGAAATTGTGCATGTATTTCCACTGATTAATTAAATTTCAGCCTGATCTACAAAGAAACACATAACTATATGTGAAATTTAAAAATCCACTGCAAATATATCCCAAGGTTAGATGCGATATGATAACACTTAATTTAACTTTGTTCCAAACAGAAATTTAAAGATCATCATCTGTGCTTTGATATAATTTGTATGGTAAACTTAGATTCGCTTCAGAGCATAAAGAATGTCATACCCATATAATAAATTAATGAAAATCTGTCCTTGACAAACTGCCATACAAACTCTGTGCAGTCCAAGCAGCTGACAGCGTTCCTGGAGAGCTTGTCTTTCTCTGTGGCTCTTCCTGCAAGGCAGAGCACTTGCCTCAATGTTGGTAGGAGTTCTTGCATGCGCTCTAGGGAGAACAGAAAAAATACTGTAGTATAGAGTACTGCCAAACAGCGCTGAGAGAACTCTCCTTTGAGTATTTTATGGAAGGGTTATCTAGGAAATTTGTAGCCAAGCTCTCTCAGTGGTAATTTCAGAAGAAGGAAGCTAGAGGCCAACTTTGATAGGGATTCAAGTCCATTTAAAAGTTCTGTTCGCTAATTATTAGTATGCTCAGTAACTGTAATATATATTAAAGACTGTAATTCCAGTATTGTTGACTTTTAAAATATCGAAAGTAAATATTATACATCAGAATTGTAAAGCTAGTAATTAAGATGTGTATCCCACTAATTTCTTGAAAAACTTAAAATTTTTGCATTAAAAGAACTGTTTTCTGCATTCTCTGAATTTTGTCGGTTTTCTAAATTTCCGATTAAAGGCTTTAGGAAGTAATAGTTAATAGCTTAAAACCATGTTTTGGGACTGATTGGGGGAGGAAATTTCATTTTGAGAAGGATGTGAAAGACTCGAGATAAGCATGAACTCAGAACTTCATTTCTAGTCATGTTTCAACAGCAAATTGCTATCTACTATAAATATTTTATCCAGTCAGATGGGATTAAAATGTTACATAGCTAATATGTTGAAGGCTTTTAAATTGTCTGCTTCCCTAATATACAACAGTTGAACATATCTGTCATAAGAGAGCTTTAAAAAAAGAGCTAGCTGAAGTCTGTTGTATACCCCCTCTTTGAGGCAGATAAAGTGAGTGGCGTGTGATAACCTTACCTTACTGATCATACAGAAGTAACTAGAAATTACAAGACTTAGTCTTCTGATCCTAAAACTAACTAGCATCTTAAAAATGTATCCGGAGTGGGAGGAAACTCTTCTAGAAAAATGTGGAAACATCAGAGACCATGAGGACAAAACGTTCTATTAATTTGGTACATTGCAAGAACATATAACAGCAGCACATACATTAGAAATAAATAGCTGAATGGTTAATGTAGTTCAGCATTTCTTTTAATACTTTGATTTCCATGAATGTTATGTAAATCTGCTTCATAAAATAAAAAATAAATGCGTATCTTAAAGTACTGATTAATCAGCTGAATATGCTTTTGTTAAATAATGCAGTGCATTTTGCAAGTAGTGCATTTTTTGATAAGATTGACCATAAATTTCAACTAAATAATGTATTCACATAAGTATTGTTTCTAGTATTTCATTTAAAGACTGCATTATATAGTGCTGTGGATTCGACTGTTTTCTGAATATTTACAACTTCTGCATAATACTTTATGCTTTTTAATTATACAAAATGGATAAGAAGAATAAATGGAACGTAGACTTCACTCTAATGATTTAACAGAAGCTATAGTGAAATCTCTGGAACCTTAAACACCTTTTTGCCTGTCATGTCTCAGTATTTTTAACTTCTTCACTCAATTCAATCAAAAACAAGCTATCAAGTAGACTTTCTCCTTAACGCTGTACCATGTGCTTCCAGATACTGGACTTCACTTCTAAATTGGACTACAATTTAAAATTACCTTTTAACCCTTGTGATTTATCTGTAGCAATTGCAGTTCCTGTTCCTCCCTTAGCCCCTTTCCCCAGCTGCTCTAATAGTTAGTCCCTCTCCGTCTTTAATGTATTTACCATCAAAATAGGCTTGTGAAGTTAGGAAGAGTGGAAGAAATAAGACCTGGTGAGTCCACAGAGTGAATCTCCGAGGCCAGCTGTTGGCCATATTCCTCCCCGTTCAGTGGACACTTGTGAATATCACTGAACTAAAATGCAATTTAGAATGGAGGTAACCTAGTATAAAGAAGCTTTCCTATCATCTGCCTATATTGGATTTGGCTTTAGCTAGTGCCAATAACGCCTCAGTTTCATGTATGTCAAGAATTTCTTATGCTTTTTATTATGTCAGATGTGAACTTTTTAATACAATGTGAACTTTTTTATGTTCACATAAATGATAGAGAGAGCAGGGCATATCTGAATAAGGATATACTGTCTTGTAGCTATGAATATAAATAGGCAATTTCTTGAACGATAACTGTGTGCTGTGAAGTGGGGATGCAGTTTGAAAACTTACCTGCATATAGATTTATAACCCTGATCTTACAGAAGGACTTCTGAGCCATGAAAGTATTAGTTTTTTTATGATTTAATATTAAATCATCTCTCCAGTTGGTATGAATTTGAGTAAAGTTTAATGTATTATTAAGGAATTTAGTGAATACTTTTTTCCAATGGTATGTTTGTTCACTTTTCATAGGAGACCCCAAAATATGGTTGGAAGGATTATTATTCTTGTGTGATGACTGTAACCAGTGAACATCTCAGAGATCTATGGAAGCAATTTCGGAGACGTGATACGCTGAGATAAGGAAAGAACAACTGTGGGCACTGGTTATAACTATTTATTCCTATATACACTGAATGAAGAACAAACTTACCCAAGTGAATCATGAATCTTCCGGCTGCAGTAGATAACACAGGATTTTTTTTTTCCCCACTTAATAGAGTGATCACAAACTCTTACAACCACTTGTCAGTATATATTTTATTTAAGCAATGAAATAACTATCATCTGATGGGCAGAAGTTTTTGTTAAGAACATATTTTGAACAGTTTGTCATTATTTCGCGATGTGTTTGTCAGTTAAAAGAAAACAAAAATAAGTGTTACACTTGGGTAAGCACACCTTTAGGCAGTGAAGAGAAGCTGCCTGCATCAGCTTAGACTGTGAATCTGCTTTCAGAAGAGCACTATTAACAGTTTGCGCTAAATTGTCAATGAGAATACATTATGTAGCATAACAATTATATACAAGTTGAATGTATAAATTAAGCCCTTAGAAGCTAACAGAGCTGTTACTTTTAAAAAGGGTAAACTTCCATTACAATTATAATGTGAATGCTAGGTATTTACCTAAGAAAGGTACTGTATGGACTATAATGTTCAAATCCTGTAAGTCTTACTATTACATCTGTTAATTTATCTTTAAAAGTATTAATTTTAAGATGTGTTACAAGCAATATGTTGAAGAGGAAGTGTCAAAATATTCTAATTCATGTTAAGTAACACAGCACTATGTAATGTTTATCATAAACTTTATTTCCACACATATAAATTCACCGATATATTTCCAGTAGAGTATGACTTCATGTGTTTCTTGTGAATAGTGCACTTTTATAAGAGGTAAGACATGGCACTGTGCAGAAATTATAGTTGTCTAATTTGCTATTCTGGAATGCAGTATCTGAAAAATAGATAAGTAATATCTTTGTGTTTGTGTCAAACAAAAAAGCAAAGCAAAATATGAATGCATGCAGTAGTACAGAGCAACACTCAACTAAATAATATTACTTGAATATTACGAATCAGATGTTAACCTTACTAAGGTTATGGACACTATTGACAATCAGTGGCCACCCTGATCTTTCATGCCCCGCAGCTTTTGATGTTACTGAAACAACCCTAAAGACACTCCATTACATTTGTTTTTCATATTTTCTAAATTTTTTCTCTACAATTCAACAGCAGCAGCATTTTTTTTTTTTTACTCCCTTTCAGGATGAATCATATAATTGAATTAAACTCAAACAAATGTGAACGATTTTATGTTATTCTTGAAAAGGTTTGCTGGACATTAAATTAACCTGCACCTACTCAGGAACAATCTGTGCATTGACTGCAAACTGAAATTAATATCAATGAATTAGTGTTATCAGAAAGGTAAATATTTGGTGTAGTCATACAATTAAAATATAACCAAACTATTATATTCAAAACAATGGGTTTTAATCTTTTATTATCACAAATACACGTACAAAAACTTCTGAAAACCATATTTAGTGCACATGTTGCTCAAATACCATTTTTTATCATATATGAATAGAAAAAGATGTATAGCATCTGTGTAAGTACAGTTAGGTTCAGAAATGCTTAATTTATAGTAAGATTTTTCTCTGTTTCAAAATCAAGTGGATAAACAAGCTGTTATTTAAGAAATTCCACCTGGGGAATTTCAGAAAAAAATGTGCTATTTAGATTATCTTTTTGGCTGTGGCTTTAATCTACAAAAAAGCCAGTTCAGAAAGTTTATGAAGGATTTAATTTTGAAGTCTTTAATTAATATTTCATGATAAATACTTACCAAATTTGCAGCTTGGCCTCCTCAAACTACTGACAACAAGGAAAATCATAAATTTGGGATAAAGGTTCTTGAAGTGACACAATAGTACATGAATAAGCTGCAATCTCTCTAGGATCAGTCAGGGAATCCATTGATATTTGGTGTATCATCATGGTCCCCAGAACAGTCTCAGTGCTTCTTGTCAATGTACACAAAACTTAATTTTGCTACTTCAGTGATGAAGGACAAAGACTGGGAAGAAAGCATAGGGAGTTACTGAAGGGGCTCTGCCACTTCCTCTTCAGTCACTACTGCCCACTCACTCACAAGGAGTCCTCCCCTTGGAGGAAGCAGAAGCACCATCACAGTTCAGCTCCTCCTCTGCCCTCAGCAACAGTGCACTTTGCTTTATGGCTGGCTTGAGAGAGTTGTAACATTTTTCTATATATTTCCTAACTGTAGTCACTTAAAATAGAATGTGAAAGTGTCAGATTAGTTTTTAAGAGTATTTTTCTCTTGTTTAATAAAAATTTATGTAATATAGGATATGAAACTACAAATATCATATTCCTGTTTATTTCAAAATAAATACACTTGAAACTAATTTTCTTGGCAGTGTAAATTATTCCAATTTATTTTGCTATAAAGTTTTTTTTTTTTTTTTTTTGGCAAAATATGGATATACAAGTGCTTTGAATGAGCGTATCACCGTGACAAAAAAACCCTCACACATTTCTGCTTCTTTTGCTCTTCTCTTTAGCTAGTTACACTGTGCTGCCGCAGAATTCTGTATAAAAGAGCTGGAAGTACGAGGACAGCCAGGTGAAACAAAGCAGGATAATGAGACGTGCCATATGTTACAGAGGCACCCCTCGGACAGGTAGCAATCAGGGTGTTGGATAAAAGCTTATTCAAAATCCTTCATATTTTTGGCAGCGCTGCTGTTAACTTACACGAAATTGCAAAGGAAGGTTTTGATGTTTTTGTAGAACCAACTCTTGTTTTCTTCTCTTGCATAAAAAGAAAAGCGTCATGATGTAGAAAGATATTTAGTGAATTCTTAGGAACTACTGGGTGATGCCCAGACCAGCTGTAAATTGTGATAAAAATGGTAAACCTACAGCTTTGTGTTGCTTTGTGATACTAACTTACTTTGGTTTGGGCTCTGATGACTTCCTAGTTCCCAGCAGAATATCATTTATTATAAGCTGCTTCCTGCTAATCTTATAATGTTTAAAAAATTACACTGGCAGCTTCTGTCCTCGCACGCTTTTACAGTAAGTTAATATCAATTACTTTCACTGCAAATTCTTGTGTTGTATGACATGGAAGAAAAGTTATCAGCCTGAGGAAAAAGAGGTACTACTTGATGGTGACTTGTGGCAAATTGCTGGTCATACTGCTTGATATTCTGTAGTTATTTGAGCTCCTCCTTTCCACCTAAATATTAGGATGAGAATACATTCAAATAAAATGAGAGAAAACGGTAGAGGAATTTTTCACTTTGTTTTGGTTTGCCATTGTGTGATATTCTCTAAATAATACTCTGGATTGTTCTGTTGTCCCACTGAGGACATTTTAAAACAGTGAATGGCAAAAAAACTCCAGGCTAATGCTTGCAGAAGGAAGAGAATCACATCAAAATCCCACTATTCAAATAACAAATCTGAAACAAAATTAATTTAGAGAAATACCAGGTCTGAAGTCCCCTTAAAATCAAATCAAAACTAATAGAAATACTTTTAAAAATATATTTGGGGCCTGAATGTACAGTATTTTCCCCTATACCTGAATATATGACAGAGTTTGTAGTTTGGCACCCTGAATCTGTCAGCAGATGGTGCCCTTGGATATACTGTATGCTTTTTTTTTCCCCACACAAAAACATAATTAAATACAAGACGGTGTGCTTTAAACTTGAATGCCTAATGTTAATTTCCACCAATACCTTGCTTATAAATTCCTCCCACAGAGGAACATTATTATTAGCTAGGAAAGTTCCATAAAAATATTAGTACTCATTAGAAACTCTTAATATAAGATACCTATTTTTATATACATAAACATGCATAGCAACAGCAACATATTAAATATATTTAAGTTTTAGTAATACATTTCTATTTATTCAATGTAAGCAAATAAACTATTACTCCTGTTTGGTTTTTTGGAAAAGTAAGTAGAGCTATTTGAACTACCCATTTATACGTCCATTTTAATTCAAAAATATATTAAATTAACATCATCACACAGGAACTTTTCCAACCTCTGTTTCATAATTATCCACTGAAAGTAACTTTTCATTTACAGTTTTCACAATGTCTGTAATCCAGTGTTTGTAAAGAGCCACACCTGTAAGCCATGCTTTTTTAATAACTGCTTTTACTGTTAAGTGGTTTTAGGTGATTTGCCCGAAGTTATAATTTCTGGTTTGAAACAATGTAAGTTCATCTAACTCATTTTAACCCTGATTCAGAAGCCACAACCATCGCTCAACCCAAATCCAAGAATGTAGTGCTTTAAAAATAAACTTTCAGGTATGCAAGTCTCTGCAGTCTTAAGATAGACACCTAGGCTCTGTAACAAATGCATGCAGAGAACTACACAAAATCTGTAAATACCACAAACTGCTGAACTAGTTATCCAGGCAGTACTGAGTATAGGGATGTCATAAGGTGTTGCTCCAGGTAGCTGGAACTGGGCTACATCAGGGCTGCCACGGGCCCGCTCCACTCTCCTTCCCCAGCTGCCTGCTCTGCCTTCTCATGCACTTTCTTCCACTGCCAGTAGCACTTGTGTGACAGGGTGGCGAGATGGCTCAGTTTGGAATTAACAGCAAAAAAAAAACCCACACACATATGTGGGTATGTGTATATATACATACAGTTACACTTCAATTGCTCCTGGTTACAAAAGTACTGGCCATGGCACATGAAAGGGAGTTGAAATACATTACCAGAGGCAGAGATGAAAAGCAGGACCATACCAGTCAGGATTTAGAGAGACTTAAACTGCTGTGGTACTCCCTGCTATCAAATTACGCTTCTCACCAGAGTTAACCTAGCTTGTAGAGAGCATATGTCCTTGCACTTGGAAAGCACATCATGATACCCAGTAGAAAGAGCAGGGACTGCAGTCCAGAACTTGGGCAAATGCTGAGAGGCAACCAAATCATCTTCTTTCCCT